AAAAAAATTAATTGATTCGCAAGTTCCTATGTGGTATACTCCACCGTGTCTCAAATAACAAGTGAATGAAATATTGAAAATTGATTGATTGAAGAACTATAAGAATATTCAAGACAATTGGATAAATCAAATGATGCAAACTTTTCTTCCGAAATTAAATAATGAAATAATGAATAAGAGATCAAATCAAATTATAACTAGAATGTCGTTAAGTAAGGAATGAAAAAAATTCACATCGAATGATCATGAGATTATTATTTATATTTATTGGGATGAGGCAAAATTGATGATGTATAAGGAAGTAATGCTTGCATATATGTATATGGATACTCTGTTGATACAATGATGAATGTAGGACAACATTTGATATCTGAACGAGTTGTTATGCCAATAGTCAAAGAAAATAAATATCACTCTTGAAATATGCTAAGTTCTAAACAGAACTAAATCTTAAAATTGGGTTGAAATCATTTGGTATATCCACTTGTATACGGCTGTCAATATGAAAATTAAATGAGTGCAAATGCATGTAACAATGGGCTTACAAAATGATTGTTGGACATATAGAAATTTTTAATCATAGTGTAAATTAGCACAATATTGAATGTAGATGTCATGAAGAACTAAGTGTACAATCACATCACTAGACTGATAGTCTGAAGTAACACCTGTTCCACTGTTAAAACGTAGTGAATTCTTATAACTATCTCCACCCATAGGCTTGAAGAACTTGTGGGACTTAATGTAAGGTTTGAAAGATATGTGGTTCTTAAGTTGATCAATATGATGTTGGTAACAAAAAAGATTCGATGAGACGCAAAGAATATTACATGCTAGAAAATGGTTAAACAGTAAAGTCCCCAAAATATCATAATCTGAGCAAGATGTTATTTTCAGAGAAGAAAATATGTATCTGATTGGTTAGCTAATATTCTTTACTATACTTGCGAGATCCTTTATTTTCCGGATCGTTGTGACCCATTTAGCTACATAATGAGCTCTGGAAGTGAAAATGATGAATACAACTGAAATGATACGAAGGAGGTGGACATCTGCACCGGAGCTAGATTTTTGTTGGGTCCAAATGAAATGAAGGTTGATATCCCGAATTTGAGAGACACGAATTGCAGCAAGTACTTTTGCTCACAAACAAAGTGCATAATATTTCAGTGCTAGTAGTGCAGACTAAAATCAACGAGTATCCTTCCATTCTTGCAATGGCAAAACTAATCAAACCGGACCCAATCTCATTCGAGGTGCATTAGTGCGACCGAATATACTGAGGTAGCGTGTTCTCACTCTAGTTACTAGGCTGATCAATCACAAGGACTTACTAGCACGCATCCGGTCGCACGTGAGGGGGCAGGGCAGATCGTGGTGCCGACCGAGTAAAAAGCTGGTTCCGAAGGGTGAAGAGGAGAATGGTTTGATACTGAGGCTACTTGACAATCTTGCTCTCTATCGAATACGATAAAGTTGATTCTTACCGCAATTTTCACTCGGTGCTACATTTACTGACTGCAGTCTCCTTTGAGAAGCTGAATACAAAAGTGACAAAGAAAGAATCTTTAAAAGTTGGAGTAGATATGTGGCAATTTGTCACATTCTTCCAGGACACCGGAGAGAAATCAATCGGACCGAGGTTCGAAAAATCATCCAAGATCCGACTTCATTTACCACAGACTTGTGTTATCCATGCAGTTAGCTTAGGCCTTGCTGATGCGCTGAGAAGAAAGGTGGCAGGGGAATGGAAGGTGACTCTCTCGAAGTTGCAATGGAACGTACACAGGGATAAGCTAAAGAAGTACACGGCGAGTTAACACATGCGCCAATAAGATCTACAGCTGATACGGTTGTCGTCGTGAAGTCATAAAAATCAGATTACTGCCAACTAAACACCAGCTTTGTTCAGATCCACAGTTTAGAGGTTTTCGATATCAATGGATGCCCATGTGAGGAACACATGATGGGAGAGAATCCAATACGTCGGAGTTGATAAGTGGGGTTTGTCATCATCTCAAAGAGGAAAAGAATATAATTGTTTATCATTCCCATGCATTCATCTTCGCTTTGTAATGATCTTCAACGGAGAACAATTCAAAACGAGCGTGAACGACAGGACGATTGAGCTTACAGAATCTGGAATGATAAACTAATTCGCAATTGGGCAAGGGCCAACTTATATTCAACCGCGGATTGGGTCAAGCTTATCATTAGGGTTAAATCTACCATCTTCCTCAGCGGAACCGACAGAAATGAAAGATGCACTTTCTCGGACTCGATGGCTCCACGTTGGTCACTGTCCTGATAGCATAGAAGAAGGAACGACTACCAGAATTGGTAATTCGAGGGAGTTGACTGTCTTCCGGGCAGACTAATGGGGGCCAGAATCACTAAGAACGTCCGAATGAGGGCAGGGAATTATGAAGTGAAAGTGTATAATTCACAGATGCTGAGGTGTAGTTTGGGTTTTTCTAATTTATGGATTTTTTTTTTCCTCGAGAGAAAACGAATTCGATTTTATGCCAGCATGTGGTGGGAAATTGATGACGGGGAGCTCGATGCGCATCCAAGTGGAAGGATGGCACAAGGTCTGCACAAGGTCCCAGAGAAGAAGTACGACGAGAGGAAATCGACGGGGTAAAATTAAGAGCCCGAGGGTCGGCTAATGCGAACAGCTAATGATACAGTGATTCGGAATTACGGCCCTCGGTTGCGATCATTGATGCAAACTTTTTGCTTTCGCGCAGAAGTTCAAAAAGGCGGAGTCGATGGGTTGTGAGAGAACTTGAGAAGAGGGGCCGAGGATGCAGCGCTAGCCAACAGGAAGAGACAAGCGTTCAAACTTCCACCATGAATGAGTGCGAGACACTGGACAAGAAATCGAGAGGAAGAAAGGGATGAGTGGTAACTCGCAATTACTGACCCCATCAATCGTCTCCACTGTTCTTACCCGGCGAGAGCAGTGATGACCTGGTCAAAATCAGTGGTAAGTGGTGCCAAATTACCCGGAAGCGGACGTGTTTATGACCAACGGTCTCACTAACGGGCCAGTTCCGCGGGACGAACGAGCCTGGGCGACGCGACGACATGGGACGGGACGGGACGACGGCCCCCGAGGGTTCTGTACCTGACAATGTGCCGCATCCGGCGTAGCCATTTACAAGGCGGAGGACTTTTCTGGCGGCCTCCGCCGGAGGACGTCGAATGGCACGCGGCCCCCAGCCTGGAGGACGTAGTTGTCCGAACAGGTTAGAAACCGAAGATTCTAAGTTCCATTCCTCGATGCAGATAGGAAACTGGTGATCACAGGTTTTAATGCCGCGCGGAGATGTCAGAAGTTACCTGTTCCTGTTCGCTTCACCGGCAGACACTAAGCGTGAATTTAGAGGATCGGGTTGTTTTACACGGATAATGAGATCTGGACGACGGGCCTGTTCCCCGGGACTGTCCTCCAGATTTGCTCCATGAAAATTGGCCCTACCAGAGCCTTCCTTCCAGAGAGAGAGAGAGAGACAGAAAGAGAGCGGTAACTCAGTGGGGGCACGACTTACCAGGTCACATGATTATTTAATGGAGGCCGGGTTACGTTAATCGATCGGGGGTCCAACTAAAAGCCTTAACATTTAAGGGTGAGTGCCCAAAACCCCCCTACACCACAAGTACAGCATCATTAAATGGGCAGACGACATACTTCAATCGTATAATTATGGCCTTTTTCAAACCTAGAGGATAAGTTGGAGTGTCTCGGGTTTTAAATCGGAGCGTTTTGCAAGGCCCTGGCTTCCAGTCTCGCTTCTCTCTCTCTACCGGGACATGATGGAGCAAAGAAAAAAGAGAGTACTTTCATTAAGAGGCAGCCAAAACTACGGACATCTTATTCCGTTTAGAATCTCGTTATATTTGTATACGAGGGCCCGTACCGTTTCGGTTGCCGCATAAGCGCTGGCCCTCTTATTGCAGGCGCAGTTACTCGCTCGCTCGCTCGCTCGAAGGTTGTGGTGTCGGGGGTCTCTCTCGTCTATGCCGAGCTCCCGATGGACCCTTCCTTCTTGATATGGGCCGGGAGCTTTGCCTTTATGGTAACCTCGACTGGTGTCTCTGCGATGGTGTCCGATTTATTGCACTCACGCCTTTGCTATGACCTGTCCTGTCAGGACATTCGCTTGTCGTTTTATCTGTCCCAGAAGATTAAGTGATCGCAGGGGCAAAATATTTCTCCAAGAAGATAATCCGGTGACGCATTGAAATAATGTCAAGAGTGTGAGCGAGCGAGCACCGGAGTGGTGTACAGTCCTAGGCTCCAAAGAAGTGTGTTTGCCCCTTGGGGCTGAAGAATTTCAGATGGTACGGTGGGGGCTAGGGGAGGGGCCCGATAGAAGAACAGAAATGTTGTCCGAAGGCCGCAGGAGGAGGAGGAGGAGGAGGGGGGAAGGGGGTTAGTGGTTTTCGTTCGGTACAGTCACCTTCAATAAGAGAGGGGCCGAGGGGCTGACTGTAAGCCAGTAAATGATGAAATAATGCATCGCAGGAAGGGGGGTGGTCCGTTTGATACAAGGACTGGGGCGGGGGTCGCCGCGCGGTAGAGGAGCGGAAAGGTGTCCGAGCCCCGGCAGCATCTCGATATAGACTCGGATCGAGTCAGAGTAGCGAGAGCCCCGCGGTACAGGACCCGTGACAGTGACAGTGACAGGAGGAGGAGGAGATGGCCCGAACAACTGCCCGGGGTCAGGTCCACTTGTCGCGCCCCCATTGACGCATCGCGGCGCCGCTCGATTCTCGATGCTTGGGTTTCCGCACCCGCGGCGAACCGGTGCGCGCCACGTCGCTGACGACCGGAGGTTCTCCAAAAGCGAGCGCGGGGCACTCCCTCTCTTTTTTCGCGCGCGCGTGCTCGGCTGCCCTCCCCGGGCCCGGCCTCCCCCGGATCCGCCGACCGCAGCACGGCAGCGTCGTCCCAGAGAGAGCGAAGCAGGCGGACGAGCGAGGCGAGAGCGAGGCGGGGGAGGAGAGAGTTCGTCGGGGGAGGAGGGGGGAAGCGAGCAGCAGAAGAGAGAAAAGGGCGCTGGCTATGGCGGCCCAGAGGCTTTGAGGACCGGAGACGAAAGGGAAGGAAGAGCAGCAGCAGGAGAGGAAGAGGAGGGAGAGTGGAAGGGAGGGAGGGGAGGGAGCGCAGGTGACGGGAAGGGAGGGAGCGGAGAGAAGAGGAGGCAGGAGGGGGAGAGGCATGTCTTTTTACTCGAGGAAATTGTAAGGAGGGGAAGGGAACGGAGGGGAGGGGAGGGGTGGTGGTGGTGGAGGAGGAAGAGGAGGAGGAGGAGGAGCAGGCGACAGGAGTAAGAGCAGAAGAAGGAAGGGAGAGAGAGGGAGAGAGAGAGAGAGAGAGAGAGAGATAGGAGAGGTGGAGCGCGAGACGAGGTATTCTGGGGTGAAATGCGGGATGGGAAGCACCGGCCTGCGCGCCTCTACATTCCCCGCCGCCTCCTCCTCTTCCCGCTCGCTGCGCGCTATTGCTATTTTCCAGCATCTTCAAAACTTAGGTTCGGATTTTTCGGACTTTTGCTCGTGGTCGTCGTGTGGTCGTCGTGGTCGTCGTCGTCATTACGTGATTTCTCTGTGTCTGCTGCTGCTGCTGCCTCGTCGTCTTCGTCGGTGTGAGTGTGTGTGAGTAAGTGTGTGTGCGAATGTGTGGGTGTCACTGGTGGCTGGACTGGAGCCTCCTGCGAGGTTTGGAGGAATGTGAAAGGTTTCTTCCGGTGCCCGGCCTCGTTGTCGCGTCTCGGCCGCACGTGGTGTGCCGGAGTCGCTGTCAATTGTTTGAACGAGTTCGCTGGGATTGAGGATAATGTCCAAGGAGGCTTGCCCTCTCGTACTTCGGGGCCTGCCTCCTCGCGGTCGCTGCCAGTGCGTGGATTCTGTTCCTCGCCATCGTTGCATGGTCCCGCGTTCTGCTACCTCGTACCCTCGCGCATTTTGGAGTCAGTTTTTTAGTACCCCTCTCGGCGGGCGAATGTCTCACAGACCTTGACGTGCCTGGCATCGCACTGGTGCCCCTCACCTCTTGACACGAGAACCAGAGCTCCGAGTGCATTCCCGTGGATTAGAGGTGAAGTTTCTCGGACTTAGGATGTCGGAATATCATCTGACATCGTCGCTGAACTCCTCTGAGCTCCCTTACCCGTGGCGACATGCTTGGACTGCGTAACTTCTACTTTTGCGATTCGTGAAGCGGATTCTGGTTTGAATAAGTTTACGACCATGGCTGTATGAATTTTAGCTCATCTGCTACCTTATCTGCAGCCAAGTCTGCAACTTTCGGAACAGTTGATCGCACGGTTGTAGGGGCAGAGCTGTATACCTTCTAGCGCTACGAAACTCCCGTTAAGAAGCAAGAACAAGTCTTTCCTAAGTTCCTGTGTGGTACCCCGTGCCCGTGGCGCAGTTGGGAAGTGAGCATGTACGCAAGTATGCCTGATGCATTGGTGGGACTAGGGGGTTCTCTGTGTGCCCTCTCAGGGACTAGTGGGAAGTCTCAGTTTCTTCTCGTTGTGTGGAATCCGTTAGAAATATTGCTTTCAGGAAGTCACGCTTAGAGGGTTGGAGGAGATGGTTCTGGGTGGAGCAGCTCCTGGTGTCTTATTTAGAAGCCTGCGTCGGATATTGCCCAGTTTCTTCTAATAACCTGAATTAAATCCAGAGAACGCCCACGGTATGCGTTGGCGGATTTTTTTCACTCTGTTTGTTCGGGACTTAAGATCGCTAGGAGGTGTTCGTTAGGAAATGTATGTTTCATCCTCGAGTGAGCTCCTCGATGTTCGCATATGTTGCCCCGTGATTTCCATGATGCCCTTGATTCTGTCTGGTGGATGTTTTTGGCCAACGAGTCGTGTCCCGTAGCTTGTTTCTGTTCTTGGTTATATGTTTCATCCCAAAGATTTTAATAAATTCTTGCGGTTCCTTCAGAGATCTTCAAAAGTGTTCACCTGTACACGGAAAATGGTTCCGTCACAGCAGTCCAGCAAGAATTCCTGCTCTCTCCGGGCTCGTACTCTCAAATTAGTGACCCACTACCATTCTACTTCAGTACGCCTACGGGTGTCGAACAGTTCATGGGCACCCTCAAGCGCCTGACTGAGTTCGAGCTTTGGCAATGCATATTGGAATATAGTAGTAATGCACCTCTTGCTACTACTGTCGTCCCGTTTCTGAGTGTCACGAGGTATAGGTTCTTCTCACGCAATCGCTGTTTTCAATCTTGATTCTGATTTGGGCTGGGCGGAAAAGCACATGTTAGTAAGTAGGCTTCTTTTACCCCTTTAGCCGCAGCTGTTTTGAGCCCTGATCAATTTAGAGCTACGTATGCGAAGGAATATTGCCGTCTTTAGTCATTGATTCTGGATTTCTCCCTTGAGCCGCAGGAATCCGCAATTGAGAACCTTGCCGACTCTGGCGAATGACCTGATTTTGGTTGAGAAGGCGATCGAAAGAGAGAAATTGTTGCAATGTCCACCTCTGAGACATCCGCCTTCACCTAGACAAGAGCAGGAACACTTGCCGGTGGGAACTCGAGGCTCACCTGAAGACACGAGATCTTGGAACCCGATCAAGTGGCTACCTAGCACGTCCGCCATGTCTGCTTCTACCGGTCAGTCTGCCGAATCTAACGATACTCGCGAAGACGGGTTGGGTGATGGATCCAACCTGCAGTTGGAAACCCTGCACGAGTGGGGATCTGATTTAGAACTTGCCAGTCCGCGCATGTTTGATACTTGTCTGGGCTCTTCTTGGAGTACAAGCATTTCGAGCGTCCCGTTCACAGGTTTGTGCCCGTGCTTTTATGTTGGAGAATTGTGTTCGCCGTGACCTGCACAGTTGCAAGCCCTACTCTGCTCCGTTGTCGAAGCTGTGGGAGAAGAGCTTTAGCATTCTTGATCTGAGATACTATATGCATCTTATAATTTGGAGATGCGGCTTAGCACTTGATCCCGCGCCTTTCATCCAGCTACCAGTTTGAGCGGATTTAGATCTAGTGCACCGCAAAATTATGGTGCCACCCCTTGTTGTTAGGGTGCTGAGCATGTTCTATTTCGGGGTTTCATTCTGAATTTCGTCTTTGGGTGGTGACTCCTTTGCATTATTTGTACGCAGCTCTGATGTCTGCACCGAGCCCGACTTCGAGCTTAATGACGAATCACAAAACTGCTTGCTCTTCTTGGAGCTCTCCAAATCTTGGACTGAATTCTCTTAGTGGTACTTTCGATTATCACCTGGACTCTTCGTCCAGCCAGAGCAACTTCGGTCATGGAAGGCTCGCCTTAACCTATGACTTGCCGAGCCCTGGAGGGAATTTGAGCTCCTGTCACTCAGAATCCGTCCCTATGAGCATGAATGGTGGGTTGGCGTACAAGGCGCGGAACTCTGGTCCTTTGAGGAAGGCAGTAGAGCGAACTCGGTCTCACTGCAGTGATGAGAGTGTGTGCACGCCTCCCATACTGAATGAGAGGCAGGGGTCTGGATATTCTCTTCACTCCCACTCCCTGCCTCCTCAGGCGACAAAGTTGAGGCTCTCAGATTGTAGCCACGATCTGTCTCCACAAGAGACAAGCTCTTCTAGGCTAACCGAGACAAGCCTTTCCCGCAAAGATGGCGTTACGACGAGGAATATGCTGGAAAAGGTCTCCGGGACGTCTAATCATCACCAACGCGGACCAACGGAGCGGATGACCGAGATCACTCTCAGTGAGCTGTCCAATTACTTCAATATGCCGATCACACAAGCTTCTAAGGAGCTCAAGGTTGGTCTGACGGTTCTGAAGAAAAGATGCCGGGAGTTCGGAATACCACGTTGGCCACATCGGAAAATGAAGAGTCTTGACAGTCTTATCCACAACATTCAGGTGAGTACTCATCCGTTTCTTTCCAATAAAAACGCATCTCTGCTTTGTGCGGTGTACAATTTTCGCGGAGCCGTTGGATGCGTTTAAGAATCAAGGTGAGCCTCATCGTACTAATCCTGGAGGTAATAGAGGTAATACATGAATACGGCTGCTGGCTGACGCCGTCTGGAATATGGCGTTTCTTTTGGCGGATGCGTATCGTAGCACATTGGCAGATGCAGAAGAAGGATTCACGACTAATGGAGAATTCACAATGCTTTGCAAATGTACTAAAGATCAGCTTCTTGGAGGATAAGTAGAGTTTAGTTTGGATGATAATTAAAGTTCCGTTACCTCTCGATTGACTTGTATGAGATCTCGTTCGCGTTCACACCCTCTTATGCCTTCGTTCTTCTTTCGCTTGCAGGAGCTAGCAAAAGGACCTGAGGGTAAGACTTCTGCACCAGTCATGAATGCAGTCAAGGAGCTAGAGCATCAGAAGAAGAGAATGGAGGAGAGGCCTGGAATTGAGCTTGCGGAGCGCACTAAGAGGCTCCGTCAAGCTTGTTTCAAGGCTAGTTACAAGAAACGCCGACAGGCTCAAACTCTAGCTCAGCAGGAGTCATATGAGGTTTCAGGGGCAGTTCCTGTAGACCAATGTGTCTCAACCCTGGTCTCATGACATAGGGGCTCCCTTCCGTCCAAAGTTTCAAATCAAATAGAAGCAGGGTTTAACCATGCAGGTATTTACTTAGAAGATGCTACTTGATATCATAACCTTCCGTTTGCTCCCCCAGACGTCGTCTCGGGGTAGACTCACAAGGAGGTAGACATTCGTAGCTGTTGTCTTAGTCGACTACTTGGTGGTGTGGCATCCAGGACCAGCATTTAGATGCGAGACCCTGCACACATATTTTGAGTGTTTTGCTTGGTGTGTTCCGTGTACCATAGGACACTCAAGAGGGTTGCCTTGAACTAGATAAGCCAAAAGACCAAGATGTGATTTGTGGATGTTGTCAATCACATCTTGCTCCAGTGCATGTCTTGTGGCACTGCGTAGTATTTAGCTAGCTTTATATTGCATTAGTTGGAAATTGGACAAGGTACGGTGGGCGGGTCTGTTGTACCCGCCTTGTTAGCCGTTGCACAGAGTATAGAACTCTTTCCAAAGTTTTTTGTTCCAACCGAACACGACCTATTCTATGTTTAAAATACAAGTAATAGTTCAACTGTGTTGTTTGTAATTTTACATCGGCGTTATAAAACTTTGTGTTATTAAGCAGTGATGCAGATCTGCTTCGTCCTTCTGTCGAGTTTTGAATGTTGGGAACCGATTGGGAGTTGCATTACATGTGTGCGAGTGGGGTCTGGCTATAGCTTGAATTTTGTGGTACAGTATGGGGGATACGTATGTCCGTGCTGTCGAAAAATGCATGACTTCACTCCAGTACATGGGCGTGAGTTCACTCCCTTCGGCGGTGTATGGAGTATCTACTTTGAGAAAGTAGGCTACCGATCAGATGCACTGTACTTGCTGAGGTATATTCACGTGTGCGAGTGGAGTCTGAAGCAGGGTAGGGCTACTCAATTCTACTCAGACACTCTCCCGGCAGGCAGTGGCTGCTCTGCTTTCGCCTTTGGGCAGAGAGACCCGACGGAGGCACAGAGGGGTCGGTCATGATTGTCTTTCAAATCATTTGTGTGAACTGGTGGACAGAGGGACCCTGACTGACAGACCGGCAGACAGACAGACAGTACCTCAGTCGTGATGCGTGGAAGCCAGGCTGTTTCATTTGGCCTATTCGCCTCTCCTGTGTACAGTGAAGGACAGTACAGTACATCCAAGAACATGCCAAATGTCAGCCCAGCTTAAATGACGACCCATCCTACATGGAAACCTCGTCTCCATCCACATGTACGGTTCCATAGACGGCCCCGCTCTCCACACTCTTTCCCCCTCCCCCAACCCCCCGGGACGCTTGCCAAATCGCTGGAGTCTCCGGTGGATCGAATCGAACATGCGAGCGAGCATTCTCCCGGGACCCCGACCCCAACCCACCGTACCCCCGTAGTGTACAAGAAGACGTTACCTCCGTGTGCTATGTGCACACATCAGAAGAGAGGAGAAGAGAAGAGGCGCAGGATCTCTCAGCCCCAGCTCGGAGAGCGGGCCGGGTCGGGCCAGGCCTGAGGCGAACACGCATGGCAGTCGGTTTACCGCGACTTCCGAGGGGAAGGAAATTTGGAAGAACGGGCTCTGGGTAACAACCGACCAGGACCAGAAGGGTGAGCCCGGCACGATACCAGGTCGACCGACCGGACGGGCGGGCGGACGGTTTTCCTAATTTGGTCAATTAAGGACTTGGTTTAGTTGATCACGCATCTAAACCTCGGCGGGCAGGGCTGAGCTGAGCGTATCAAGGTCTAACAACAACCGACCGATGTACAGTTAGACTCTCGGTCACGTCTGGACGCGAGGGCGAGGGAGGGAGGGAGGGCTTAAGCATGGACGACCCATCGACGATCCGCCCCGCCCCGCCCGCCCGCCAGCGCATGGCGATCGACTCCCTTAATAGTTACAGTACTTGGCTGGAAGGTCGAACTTTCCGATTGTGTGCAGTGTTCTTCGGGAGCACAAAAAGTTGGAACGACCAGTGGAAGGAGGAAACTATGGCCGCAGGTCATAATTTGCGCACATGAGAACTTTCTGACTTTCAACAGATAGATTTACATACAGTAACATTTGTTATCGAGTCCGAGGTTTCGTAGCAATGTCCTCTATGACAAACTTGCGTAAGATATTATCATTCCGTCGCGCACCTACCTTGGAACAAATCAAGTCAGGCAGAGCAGCAGCTGCTGCTGCTACTGTACGAGATCGAGTCCTACTTGTCTCCTGGTACTGTATGCCCCTATGGTGGAATTAAGATGCAATCCCCATCGCCTTCCCTTGCCTTTTCTCTAGAAGCACATCCAACCGAGCCTCATGCTTTACTCTTACCCTGTTGCTTTTCATCCGTAGGCGCGATAGGATTAGCACAACGACTCGTTTTCGAGTCACTTAGTCCACCTCATCTTTCCGAGGCAGCTCCCTTGAGCTTACTTTTACTGGTCGTGTCGAAGCGAGACAATCATGTGCTGAAGCAGAAGGAGATCCTTCCAGCTTTTCGGCCAAATATTATCCATTGGTAGCAGGCAGATTCCCCAAGCCAATATGAAGGCGCAGATCCAGACATGGCATACATAGTACGGTATCTCATACCTTGTCCATGACTATAATGTATACCTCAGTCATCCACGCTCATCGGTCCCCTATAAAGCTAATTGTTTTTGCACATAATTCAATCAAAATGTCAACCTTTCCCGAATACTGCTTTTAACCTGTATGTCTAGCACAAATTTTTTTTACAGATATATGACCAATTACATCTCATGGTTTCCTCTTTTTTTTAAGAGCTCTTTTAAAAAGGGAAAAAAAACTCAAGGCCACCTGTAGACATGTAATTATGTACCTGTTGGAAAGGCAGCTTGTAGGTTCTCCTGTGAATTATGAGTGGAGTATTTCACTCTGCCAGTAATATATGTGCTTTTCGATCAGAAAATAATGGGGATTCCGAGGTATTGTGATGTACCAAGTACATAGTTTCTACAAATCCCACAATAATTGTCCCCAAAGCATATTAGAGAAATAAGCATGAAGTGAGGAATTTGATTGAAGCTAATAGCTGACATCTCAACTCTGTATTTCGTGCGGATAAAAGTGAAAGAAGTATTGAAGGGAAGGGTTTGAAAAAACATTAAGAAAATGGATATTCAAGAAACTTCTGTTGGCAATTTTATTGGAGAAGTCTTCGATATCATAACTTTGAGCTTCTCCTGAAGCAAGGGCTTTGAAGAACAGAAACCAAGCATGGTTTTCAATCATGGGTAAGCAAGAGCTGACTTATCGAACTCTCCTTAGAATGATAAGGCTAATTGGTCAGGTCCGGCCAATGCCCAGGTAACCTCTCCAGGACTGCCCGGTAAACGGCATCTACACAGTGTAGGGGTCGGTGAGAACTTGAATGCCATGGATTTGTAAGACGCAGGACTTGGTCACCAGCTGAAGCATCAAGCCTCATCATCTACAGCTTGTTGATCTATGAATCCTATGCATTCCTTCCAAACTTTTCATCGGCCCAAATGTTGTGGATTCGGTTTACAACGGTGTTGGTGTTTCGGCAGGTGTTGTATAATACGAAAAATTCATAGATTGCCTTCCAGGAGCACAGATTATGAAAAATAAATTCTTGGACCGGTAGCTTTTGCCTTTTAAAGTGGGGTGGTGGTGGTGGTGGTGGATGAAGGTGCTGTTTGGGAATGGTGGAATCCCTTTCCTCCCTCCTCAGTGCAAAGATCCCTTTCAGAGTTGAACGCCCTCCAGAATGATGTTGCATGGGGCCGTCACCTGGCCAGAGTCTCGAAACTCTGCCCGCCGTGCTGCTGCTGCTGCTGCTGCTTACTGCTGGTGCATCGATGGTGCGAAGTTACAAGGATAGATACCATCCCCACAATCAAGCTGAAGGGTGCCAGCCAGCGGCACAGCAGTGCCGCTGCAGCAGCATCAGTTGCAGCATGCCGCGTACTGAGATCGACTGAGCGAAAGGAAGAAAGAAAGAGAGAAAGGCCTCGGCCTCCAAGGCTCGGAAGGTTCGTCTGTTGCTTTGGCTTGACCCCCCGCTTGTGTAAAAGATCCGGGCTATCTTTCCTATCCGTCTGTCTGTGTCAATCATCGTGCGCCGTATCCGTGTCATGCAATTGGACTCGTAAAAGTGTAGGCGCCATCATTCGACAGGTGAGAGGGAGGCGTCGCGCGACCCCACCCGACCCGACTCGGTGGTAGCGCCAAGCGGGTCGACAAGAAGGCTTTGTAGTCAAGGATTTGTTCTACCGTGGATGGATCGAAGCCCTGGAGACGAGTCCTGGAGTGCTGCTTCAACGCCCCACACAATCTCTGCTCTGCTCTGCATAGCTCCAAGTATCATGCTCTGCGGCACCATAGAAGATAATTGTGCACTGGGACCGATCTGTCGCCCAGGATCCGCGCTTGGATGGAAATAATGGAATTGCTCAAAAGGCGAGGAGCCGGAAGAAAGGGAAGGATCCCGGAAAGAACCGGCGACAGAACCCTGTTATTGCGCTCAGGTAGCTAGCATTGTAGTCCAACAGCTCACCCCTTGCTACATGAACTTCTCGTTAAGTGACCTCGCCTAGTGGAAGTCAGACCTGTGCAATATCCATGGAGGCTTCTATTTTACTGCGACTGACGTCAGCTGGTAGGAGCTTCGACATGAAGCATATAATAAGCATGAATAATCCGCAATCAGACGCGAAATTCCCATCGTGGCGACAACTCTTGCGCCTGTAGATCTCGAAATCATACAATACATCTTCACATCCACAAAGACAATAGTGATGGATTCTTGATCCATCGACAAAGAACCTCCTGTGCCTGTAGACTTCCAAACCATAAAATACATCGAACATCCACAAAGATAATGGTCATGCTTCCTTGATCCATCGACCAAGGGCCTCTTGAGCCTGAAGATCTCAAACCCATAAAATACACCCAACATCTACACAGACAGTGGTCGTGGTTTCTTGATCCATCGACAAAGAGTATCTTGTTACTGAAGACCTCAAGTCCATAAAATATTTTCCAACATCCATAACACAAATAGTCAAGGTTTCTTGCTCCAGAGACGAAGAACAGGGTTAGACAAGTTGGAAGGCGGATCTTTCATAAGCTCTCGTGAGGGGTGATGGCGTCGTGTCTGTGTCTAACATTGAGAAACACCATAGAAATCCGATATCGTTAATCGTGATCATTATTGGAAAGAGTATGCATACTACATGATTAATCGCAACATAAACTACCATGCCTTGCAAGCAATGACTTTTGCATCTCGTTAAGCTAAATTTTGGAAGCCTATTGACTAGGTCAATGGGAGAAATAACTATTTATTTCTGCTGTCGCCAGTCGACATGGTCCAAAGGGTGTGGGGGCAAAGATCGAGATCCAGCATAAACTAGAGTTCTTTTACTGTTCCTAAACAAATGGAGAGGCGACCAACTTGATTTATCTGACAAGAATCCATGTGCAATAGTGCATACTTTTTCCTTACGTCTAATCTAAAGCTTTTGTTAAGAACAGGACGCTGACTTTGCAGCACCTCTCTTTGAAGTTTCCATGAAGTTAATCAAACACTGTTTTGATTCCTTGTATAGAAGCAGTTTCCTTCATGATTCTTACGCCCGGTTATAATACTTGCCTTCGAATTTTGCCTCAATGAGAGCTCACAACTTTGTTCACATTGTATGAACCGTCACTCCTAAAGTTTGTTTGCCTCAAGAAAAAAAAAATCTTCCAGAAAAGAGCACAAGTTCCATAACTCTGGCAAGAAAACACCATTTATATAAACATATTACAAAGTAGAAAATAAGATAAAAATATAAAGATTTTTATGTCCAGTCATGGATTGGGGATGGGGCCAAAAGTTTGGGAATACCCTATCAAGGGCTAAAATGATGAAGCTAAAGGGGTAACCTCTTGGCTAGTCACAACAGTAGCACAATTTAGAATATATCATACAACACACAACAAATCCCTATTATCTGAATATAGCGTTTTACAACTAAGAGATCATCCAATTTTCCATGAACTAACTTGGTTCTTATAGCACAAATAGTGTTATATTTTGTGCAGTGGAAAGGAGTAGGCTAAAATAAATTAAAGAATGCAGGAAAAAAAAAATGATACCACTGCCCCTCATAGAAGTCAGTTGCACACTCCTTCACTAGCTTGTTCTTTCTTGTAGAGAAAAGAAAACCCAACTTCAGTCGCGTCCATTGCAGTCAGGCGTCGGATTAGTGGATTATGTTATGAGCAAATTTAAGGATGTCAAAGATCATTCTTGACGATACCAAGACCCAATGAAAGAAGGAACGACTTTTCTCGTCAATCAGACATTGTTGATGTGCATCAAAGCTCTTATGTGGGGCGGAATTTATGGCAGGTCCATATCGAACTACGATATGGACTGGCGGAATCTGGAATGACCATTGTGTTGCCAACATTGTAGAATTGCCTGAGTTTCGATGTGATTTTATGGCGTGGTAGTACGCTCAACTCTTCGCGAAGTCATCCTTCGTTGAGGGAGGGCATTGAAGAATGACAACTTTCTGGGTTCTCGGTTATACACTGAACTTACTTTCTTCCTTACTCTTCAATTCAGTGACGATGAATATGACAAATATGCCACAAATTTACTAATGCTTAAATTACCCAAAGTACATATACAAGTAAAAGAAAGGATCTCACTCACGAACTAATAATCAACACATTTATGATGCAGTTTCTGTTGGTGAGTCATGCGTCGCATCACATCTGATCAAGGTACACAGCAGACTCGCAGATACGCATGTTCTCGGACTATGAAGCTCCCACGTGAAATCAAGCTGAGTAGACAAGATAAGCACCAGATCCTGCAGCCATATCAAACAAGACCAGGTCTGCATGAGTACACACATTTTAATCTAGACATATTACTTTGAGTTGAAGGAACCACCATGAGGCAGTGCATCTGTTCTCAGCCTGTATTCTCTTCAATCAAGGAGCGCTGACTTGCTTTGATAACACTTTGGTTAGCATCAGATTCAAAACCTCGTCGGACTCGAGGTATTCATCGACTGCTAGATGCTGAAAGAAGCGAGCGCTGTCTCGCAGTTCCTGTGTAAACATAAAGTTGTATCAATTACAACTTTGTCTTTTACTTCTGGCAACAATGTGAGTAATTCCAACGACCACTGCTTGTTCACGGGTGGTGAAGAATTGATTGAAATGAGTGTCTCCTTTTCTTCAGACGAAAAAAACTAAGTCGAAGTCCGTACCCTTAGTGTCATTTCTTGCATTGATTCAACTTTGGACAGAGGAAATATAACTAACGGCGCGTCCATCGTAAGGAAAGCAAATCAGACTTGGAATTACTGCCTAACGTCCATACAGGTCTTACAATGTCAGAAAACTTATCACCAATCGACTCAAGATCCTTCTTTGCGAAGATTGTGCAATGTTGTGCTTTACTTCTAGTTTATCCAGCTGTGTCGGAAAAGTACTGTGATAGGCTGGTTCGCAAGACATTTGCTCGTGGCATTTGCTGCATTCCGAACGATCAGAAACTCGCAGAAGAAGCTGGGACCGAGCGGGCGAGGCAGTTTCTGACTGAGTAGCCGATCGTTTCATAATATGTTTTTTATAATTATATTTTTTTCCATATTTCAAGGCAGTAAGAGGTTTGAATTACCGAAACTCTTTGCTTTGGGAATCGGTCACAGCCAGAATGAGCTGAGGGAGCTCCAGAGGCGGATTCAAGGTTTCCAATCAGCTTCTCGAAATGAATCTAACATTCTTATATGCAGCATGTGCCTCCTGCGATGCTGAATAGCCTGTGAGTACAGTTGACCTACATCTAATATCAATATGATACGGTGTGGACAGAAGGGGCCAGCATCACCATCCTTACAATGCAATATAAAAAACCATGAAGAACTCACGCCGAGAAGGGAAGCTGTCATTGACATCTTTCAGAGAACCAACCTGATACTACCAATCGATAAGAAGGGCCGAGTGAGCATGCAGTCGCAACGTCGGAACACCAGCATCTAACTGAAAATGGTACGCCTTTCGATGCCTGGGGTCAGCTCAGATCCATTGAAAACCGTCAAGTCAAAGGTGCCTCTTGTCCATTGAATGCAACGTGTTGGACAAGTCTGATCTTGTGACGTGCGTCAAACTAAAAACTTGCCCTGGGCTCGAAACAATGCAGAGAATAATAAACATGACTTTTTACCTTCTGGAACGTTTGATCATGTTTCTTGTTATCCTCTGCGGTCGTCACAGCTGATTCGACGTTTGGTGGATCTGCTGCTCGAGTTGGAGATGGGAGTGGAATCCTTGCGGCATCAACCATCTATGATATCAAACTCCATCACTTATTATATACAATCGAAATCAAGCCCCATAAAACAGCATAGCATAATTGGAATGAAACGCGCTTGGAGCTTTTACCATGGGCGGATCTAGTCAACTCAAGAGAGAACAGAAGGACAAACCACTTAGACACAGAGCTGCTTTTTTAACCTGACAAACGTCCAGGACATGACTTGGTGCTGGAGAAAGCGTCAAGGAGAAAACAGTTGCCACCACATTTTCAACAATCTCATTTGAGGCACGGATGAGCTTCCCAGAATCTCGGTTGTCAGATATCCTATGTACAGACCGGGTTCGTACAAACCTTCGATGCGGTCTCAAGACCAGGGTCTTCGACTGGAGGACCATCAACTGCAGCAGGATCTCTCGCTGATCCCCAGTTCCTTACTTCTTACCCGACTTGGAAGCCATGCTTTGTCAGTCGCCATGACTAGCCGAAACCAGCTGAATCGAGACTGTGTGCGCGAACCGGTACTGCAGCACCAGCACGGTCGTGTAGAGCGTAGAACGGAACAATATTTGGGAACATTGCTCGTGTCCAGCATATTTTATAACCAACACCCTCTCTCCTAGTGAGCACGGACGTACACTTCGGGCAGTACTCTGATTTGTCCCGGTAAAGTAGGTAATCGAACAACAGACCGCAAGAATTCGCGTATACAGAGTTCCAGAGGCGGAGCCGGATTCACAAGGCCGCATCTGGATTCGTGACGTTAGCATCCGCTGGAGCCTCCGTTGTACACTCAAATTGCATCATTCGTCCTTGGTCCTGTCTTTAAGAGTAACGAAGTTTTTCGTATTAGATACCACCACCAAACTTTTCTGAGCAAGTCTCGCTTTTTCATCTCCCTCCGCTGGGTCGGCTGTGTGATCTGTGCGTGTTTGAAAAGGGCATGTCCTGTGGCACCAGCCACCATCCTTTAGTCCAAGATGCCGATCAGAGCAGCCCAATACGAGGAACACCTCATGAATTTGACTTCGAAACTCATTTGCTCATTTCATCTCCCTGGACGTTTCATATGATTCTCTGAGCACCGACCAATTCTGCTCTTGAAAATTTGGAACCTCGTCTCGTAGATGATCCTTTCTCCGAGGGTCTTTCGCCATTTGTCAACAAACTATCTGATTAATGTTTTTCCCTCGAGCCAAGTGTCGCACGAAGGGGTTTTCTCCACACGATTCACCATGTGCACAGTATGATGCCGATGCTGTCTGATGCTGCATTCAGCTGAAAAAGAGAACGAGTAACCTAATGGACGTTCACCGTTTCACGTACGAATTTTTCTTGTAGAGTATCTAATTACGTCACTGCAAGGAAGCTGAGGTAGCCACTATAACACTGTAGTCGGTCTTTGTTGTTGGTCTTGCTGCAATTTACAGTTTCTGCACGAGTGGAGGTTCAGGAGATCTCGGATCATGGAATCATTTCTCAAGTAAATAACTTTATTATGTTGTAACATGAACTGCTTCCAGATAAACTTTGCTAGGTTGATAAAGTGCTAAGTTGCAGCTTTCTTTGGCGAATTCATAGCAATATTTTACAGAGTGCATAAGAAACTTGAGTTTAGAGCCTTCTCAGAATGTTCAGTGGAGTAGTATTCTGTATAATTTTGTTTGATTTAGGTTAGTTCTAGGTAGTATAATATTCGTGTCGTGTGTGACATACACAAGCTAAAGACACGGATATTTGTTTGTAGCCCTTTCAATGAAGCAAGGTATATTCTCGTACTTAAGCATGAATGTCTAAAAATGTAAGAATTTTGTGAACCTCCCCCATAAACCGCTGACGGGAACAGTGATGGATTAGCCGAATGTCCGTAGAACGTTACAACTGGACCCGCTATAAACTGGATAAGTTCTTCTGAGAAATGCAGTCACAATCTGTTTTGATTTCACTTTTAAGGAGACAAGAACTTTTCCAGATCATACTTCTCTTGTCAGCTTAGACCTTACTTGCATGCCAGAGGAGTTTTGTTTAGTTGTTATTTATCGAAATTCTTTAGAAGCAGGGTGAATGTTACGATTTGTATCCCTAGACCTTTTGTCCTATATCTGGAGGACATTCCCACTATTCTATACATGTCTATCTCCCACAAGTACATTCCTTATTTTTTTGTTAGTACAATCGGACAAACTCTTCTCTAAACTGCGGGTTCATTGACCAAGAAAATGCGACCAAATGTAGGGTGCTTATTACTCAAATCAGTGAGGTGTCCCCACATAAAGTGATATTGCATGTAACCATAGGTAAGAAAGCAAGAAAGAACTCACTTTGTGACAATTTTCCTTGAACCTTTTGAAAGTTGACGAAGTCATTAGCATAATAAGGTATGACTTCTTTTAACCCGGTTGTCCCCTAGTGTTGAACGGAACAAAAAATTGTCTGAGCTCGTGTCTTGTTCAATTTTCAGATAAATGTGGTGTTGGCAAACAGTGTCGTTTTTTAGCACTGTTGAGTTCTTCGCAAATTGGGGAGCGAAGAAGATTCGACGTGAGAAATCCGACAAATTGACTTCGAATAAAGTACTCTAGGAGTGAAGTGAGGTGAAGTGAAGTGAGGATTCTAGAGGTTAGCTTGACAAGTTTGCAAGTCACTAATCCATGAATTGAACGAACATTAAATATCGTTCGAGAGGTGCCTTTGATTCTGAATGACTCATTTGTCTTTTCAAGGTGAAAGTAAGATGAAAGGATGAACTTTGTTTTCTCCTCGATCCTGGCAAGAGTTTAGTAATTGGGTAGCAAGCAACACCGTACACTTACATGGAACAAAAATGTAGAAGACAGGGATCCATGAACAATGTAAAAGATCAAATTTGCCAACCCGGTAGGCTCTCTTCACGGTACCACAACTCTACGTCGATTGTTTTTTTTAATTAGGTGACACAATTTGCTCCGTGCAAAAGGATGCAGATTAAGGTGGGACATATTCCGAGGTATGGGAAGTTGGAGGCATCATCAGGTCGATCTCCTGCGGCCGGCAGTTACTAGAAAACTGGTTTTGTAATCTGGCTCCAATAGCGGTGGATTTGGGCGTAACCGGATCAAGGTCAAAGTCGAAATGGACAATCGGAGGAAAACCTGCGCTTTCGACACGATTTGACGCAGGCTCAAGAATTGGACAGAGATGGAAAGCAGAACCGGAAGCTGGATGAAGATGATGATGGCTGGAGGGAGAACAGAGGATTCGGGAGGATGGCAAAGAGTTTTTCTTTTGGCTGTTGTTTTCTGCACTGCGCGATTTTGTCATGCCGAAATCGGATCTCGTGAGGATGCATTCGTCGGGTACTCTGAGAAGTCTTACAAGAAGACCGTGTTCCCAGGTTCGTGAGTCCGCTACTACCTCCTATGAATAATTGCGTTATGATTTGTGATGCTGCAGTTCCTCAAATGCTTCACGGCAACTTTGCTCAGATCATCGTATTCTCGTTCTATGAGTCCGTGTAATTCTGCCAGGGTATGCATATAAGGATCAGTTACGTTCGACGATTTCTAAATGGTATAGGATTAGCTTCGAGAGCTTAGCAGCGTTATCGAAATCTGAACCAGTCATTATATGCTCGCTTTATGAATGGTTGCCAAACTGTCTCGTCGGGCCTCGAATTTAGACTCGTATCTCTTCAGTTGCATCAAAGGGTACAGCTGCCCATGACGTCAGGACATGAGAAGCATGTCAGTGACTGAGTTATCTTCATGCCATTTTTCCTGAGTTGGCTCTCGAGAGCTTGGTTCTCGGTGGGTAGAGTCGTTTCTCACCAGAGACTTCTGAGATGCCCTATTTATCCGAGTCTTCACCTCTACATATTCCATCACCATCATCTTTATGATACTCAAAAGTCGGAGTGCAAAAATCAGCACAGATACAAAGCAAGTGATCTAAAAGCTCAGCGGCCACAGAAGTAACTTATCGAAGGACCGTACGTTTTGGTTTTGCAGCACCTCGTCATGGGAACGAGTTTTTGATATTTTCCACCAGATTTGGGGTAATATTCTTTAGATCATTGCTAGGATTTGTGCATGATTCGCAGGCTAGTTGACAGGATTTTTTGCCACTCATTTTCATCTTTAGTTCCATTTCAGCTGATACTTATCAACGCATCCTTCGTCGAATCCAATCGTCAAGTCATCATCTTTCCTTGGCCCATTGACGCCGCAACAACAGGTGACTGAGTCCATCCATTGAAATTTGCGCAGGATATCAGAGTGGAACTGTTACCGGAATCATCTCCGAATGCTGTCAAGTACATGAAGGTTGGTAACACTGTCTGCCTCATATTGTATAGTCATGATTTTCCTTTAAAATGGTTAGTGTGAATATGCTGAAGAAAATGTGAAAAACTAAGCTTGAACAAGATCACTGAACCTCAGAATGAGCCATTTGATGAACATTGCACAACTGCCAAAAACGTTTAGGACGACCTCAGGACGTTATTGTCTGCTCTGATGCAGGAGTTGATGTGGTGATGTGCTTGAACAGAGCCTAGTCACCCAAAGGCTCATGGATGGATGTTCATTCTATCGCGCCGAGCCTGCTGGCCCTACTATCGACGAGGGCCGTGATAGCATCAGGCCGGGGTATGTATTTCAGTCTCACTGTTGTTTTGCCACCGTTGAAGGTATGTCTGGAGTATGAAAGTGTATAGCAACTGGAGACAAGTGATGGTTTTCACAGTAGGAACTTTGAAGTAGGATGGAATGGCAGAGAATGGTTAGTACTGTTCAGCCGTGCTCGTCCAGCCTACTGTTGGAGATTGTGAAGTGTGTATTGATAACGAATAGTGTGGATGAATTTGTAGCTATGCTTTAGTGCAGGGGGGCTTGTATTCCTGCGGTCGTCAAGAAACGAAGAACTTGCACGTTGAAACTGCTGTGAATAATACCAAGGGTGCAGTTTCTCTTATTACCGTACGTTCTCAGCCTTTGGCGCTTAACATCACCTTCTGCAAGTCTGAGACGTTCAGCTCTTCCCCTTGTTTATCTGCTTCTCACGGTCATGTTCAATTCCCTTGTCAATTCTGTCGCTACTGCTGGTTAGCCGTCAGTTTCAAGACGTACGTGCTGTCATCCATGTGCAGGGCACAAGTGAGTTCTTTTTCAACCTCGAAGCGCATCCCGAGTGGGACGGGAGCTTCTCTGTATTTGGAAAAGTGAGCTTGATTTTCTTTTCCATGTTTCCACTTCCGTTTTCTTGAAAGAATTCTTTTGGATCACTACAAAGTGCTTATATCGGTAAAGAGGTCCAAATTACGTGCTTGAGATCTGGATTGCATCGACAAACTTCGTCTGAGCCGAATTTGGAAATTGTTGATGGAGCAGGTGGTTGACATCGACAGCTGGAATGTATTGCGTAGAATAGTAGCACTTCCCACAAGACAGGAAGCTCATTCGAGTGGTACAATACTGCGCATGCTTCAAAGTCCAGTGCCCTTCAAGACCAGATTAGAGCTTCCCACCCCTATCCAGGGCAGTTAATCTTCAAACCCCGTACTCTTTCACAAGAAAGAGCACTCTCTAGCTGCTCAATGAGAAGTACCAGGAGCCTGAAAAGGCTGATCTGGCCGGTGGGGCGCAGGGAAATTGAAAGAGAATCAGTCCTCACGCATGTCACCGTATAAGCTACTTCACCAAAGCACATATCGTACACAGGCCTTCGACGGAGTAAGGTCTTCGCACATTTTACATGGCCCATGGTGGCGAATGCTTTGAACCTAGTAAAACGGTGGGTAACCTCGTCGAGCAGTGTCCTCCGAGAGCCAAATGGTCAGCCATAGAGGGACCTGGCTGATCAAATAAAGGAAATATGCTTACATCAGCTGTCTTACGTTAGTTGCCCCCCCCCCCCCCCCAGCCCCTGCCCCAGGGCTTAGACAAGCATAAGGAAACAAGTCTTGTATTCAACGTCAAGATATAAAAATGTACGATTTCTCATCAGACCTATGAGAGAAAAGCTTTGACTGAGATTTTGGAATATCTGTTGCCCTCTCCCAGAGAACTTTTTGTAAGCTGCTGTATATCCTTCTCCCAGTCTGGTTTTCTCTAAAGACACCACCTGTTTTGTAGAGAGAGACACAACAGACAAGAGGAGAGAGCGCAGGATTTATTTAAGCTGAGTAAGCAGTATCCAGTAGACACCACTGGGAGCAACCCCCAGGACCAGCTGCCGTCCGCTTATCAGGAGACAAAGACCACCGTCTTCACGGTCTACTTAGCTCCCAGATTTCAGATGCAATTTTGGCAATAAGTGCTTGCAGGTATTGCCGACGTCAGAAATTGTACGTGATATATCCGAGTACGGTCGGCTATTCTTCTGCTGGACAGAGAGAAGGGCAGAGTTGGCATAATTCAGGTCTGCAAAGAATTTCAGGGGAAACGGTGCGGTTCAGTCCTAAGACTGCAGTTCTGGGGCCAGAGGATGAAGGACGAGGCGCTAGGAGGAAATGGTTGGCCACCATAGAAAGGGATGAGGCCACCAACAGCCTTGCGAACGAACATAGCGCATCCCTCCCTTTCACAAGACTCACTCCAAGGTCGAAGCCAAGGAACGACGACTGTCACATGGGCACGACGATCTCCTCCACACGGAGCCATGCTAAGGGGGAACAGTAGATGCAGAATCCGCAATCCAATCCGGCAGGAAAACGAGGTTGCCAGTTGCGTGACTCACGTCGATTATCCAAAGTCCCTCGGAGGGAATGAGGTCAGCCTCAGTGTCTGGCACGCCATGCCATGGCCCTTCGTGATCTGAGACTGTGTCCCACCCTCCATGAGGAATGACATGTGCTTCTCAATCATGTCCTAGTGGCTAAGGTAACTCGCGCATCCGTTATCCATGTCGTGTGGCTCTTTTGCCTCGCATCTCCGACCCTCCAGCCTCATCCTCAACCGTGTGCTTAGTTCCTCTCGTCCCTGCGAAGGTGGTTAGGCTCATGTTCTGTATAATCAACACCGCAGCATTTTGGAGGACGTGGTCACCCATAGCTGCGATCTCAACGGGAAACGAAGAAAAACAAAACAAAACAAAACAAGACAAAATAAAATACCGATCAATTATATTAATATATGGCTGTTATTTTCTCTTGGCTTCCTCACTGTTTAATAATGCTTGTTCCTCAAACTTGTCTGTATTACCTGCTCGTACCGCTCTTAAATCAATGCTAAATTGTTTATTCTAATCGCTTACGGCATGCGGAACTTTTTCTCGCCGCCCGTTCTAAAATCTCCTTCGGCCTTAGCAACTTGTTTATCCTCATCGGTCGCTTGCATATTGCACCTCGTCGGAATAGCCTAGAAGGACGACGCTGGGATTCTCGTATCTGATTATTATCGCTGGAATTATCGCTTCATTTGATGCCGTTATGCCACCTCATCATTACTATCGAATGTGCGTGCTCTCACGTGATAAAAGTTACGCCGAGTAGTCTGAGATTTGTCCACGTCTCGTTCACCTTCGTTCGCGGAAAAAGAAGGTGGATGACAGAGACCGCCAGCTAGAGCTCACCAGCGCCAAGTCATCCTAGCTCCCGGGAGGAAGGCGAATCCAAAGCTATCGGAGGATCGGAGGATCGGACGATTCGAGAGGATGGGCGAAACGACCAGACGAATGACGGAGACCCGTAGAATGGCCATGGAAGGCTGGGTGGGCCCCACGCCCTCACCCCGCGGCCAGGACTCTGTGTGTGGTGAGAGCGCACTTTTCCGATGAGGCGCTTTGTCCGGTTTCCTCTCGCGCTTATCACATCAAACTCAGCCACCAGAATTTGGAACCTTTCTCCAGATTCGGGAATCTCACCACTCTTGCCGTGGTCCGCGATCTGAAGACGCTCCTCTTTTGGCGTGACAGCCGGGCAGACACACAAGCCGCGCGGCTGATGTGGTTGGCCAGGAAGACTTCCGTTAGCCACGACCCGGTGAGGCAACCGTGCCCACAATGCTCCGCGAAGAGATCTGATTGGCGGAAACTCGGGTTACCCCTTTCGCTTTCCGGGCCATGTCTACATGTCAACAAGCTCAACAGTCGACCGGGATGTATGTGCATGCATACAAGATTCCGGAAGAAGGACATAAAACCAATCGGAACTCATCGAACTTAAAGCCCGGAATGTATGGACTTCATCTGCCGGGCGACGTGGGCTCGACACGTGTACCGCCGTATGTGGTGCACAAGAGCAGCCGAACTCCTTATCCAGAGTTCGCATGCCTCGCATCCCATGACTCTGGGCACCACATGCTCCGTATCCCCACGCGCCTCTGCTCGCATATTATGTACCTCCGCCCGTCGCCAAGCCAGTAGATCAAGGCGCCCGAGTTCGAATCCTCTCCCAGCGTTCGGCCTCTCTCGTCTTCTCTCGCTCACCCGCTTCTCTCTCGGACTCTCCCCGGCAGCAGCGATGGCGGCCCTGTCCACCATGCAAGCCGTGTCCATCTCCCAGGTGCGTCCGGATTCCCTTGCAGTCCAAATTGCCGTGCAAGTGCGTCGGCTGTCGAATCAGTTCACGAGAATTGTCCGGAATCCGTCCTGTCGATTGAGGTCTTCAGTGGTGTCGTGTATCCGGGTGGGAACAGAGTGTCTCGATGTGACAGTGGCGAGAATTTGTTTAGTCTGTGATAGGAGGAGTGAAGTTCGCCTCGCCTCGGAGGTGGACTCTCCGCGGAGTGTTTGTCTGTGCGGGTGGCCGTTTTACTATTCGCCCTAGGTTTTCGGGATACGGGACGTACTGTAATTGATTTTTGAGTGCGGTTGGGGGCTGTGGATCTTTGGTGCATGTTGGAGTTTTCTCTTGTAATGTGGATACTGAACGTGGAGATCGCTGATTGTGAGTGCAGGCCTCGTCTTTGGCCGTGGCCCCCAGCACTTCTGCCAAGTATGGCCCCAGCTCTTCTTTCCTCGGATCTAGCCTCAGGACTGCCGCACCGTCCCTGGTCCAGACCAAGGGTAAGGCCAGTATTGTGTGCGAGGCCGAGGAGGAGAAGCCCAAGAAGAAGGTCGACAGGTGGGCCGCTCTGGGATACGACATTTCCGATGACCAGCAGGATATTGCCCGCGGAAAGGGTATGGTGGATGCTCTCTTCCAGGGAGCTACCGGCATGGGAACCCAAAATGCTATCATGAATTCATGGGACTACGTCAGCCAGGGTCAGAGGACGTAAGTCTCTACTGAATACTTTCACTCTTCTCCGCAAACTGAAAGAGTTGAGTCGGTAGACTCCGTTCGATAGGGAAGAAATAATGCTCACCTGGACCCTGCGAAGAACTAATAATTCGAAGAACTTCATTGCTGCACACCCTGAACTCTAACTCAGCAAATAAGTCGGTTCTTAGAGCGCGGTATTCTTGAGAATTTCTCTGTACTAAATTACGGGGATTCTATGTTGGTTACAGCTTCACCTTCGACAACATGATGAACGACTACTACATTGCACCCGCCTTCATGGACAAGATCCTTATCCACATTTGCAAGAACTTCATGGACCTGCCCAACATCAAGGTACAGTTTTGCCTGTATTGTTTTTACAGTTGTTCGATAATATATTGCCAGCTTCCTGCCGCGAACCAATCTAACACATCTCGACTTTAATCCTGCAGGTTCCTCTTATTCTTGGAGTCTGGGGAGGAAAGGGACAGGGAAAATCCTTCCAGGCCGAGCTCGTGTTTGCCAAGCTCGGAATTCAGCCAATCATGATGAGTGCTGGAGAGTTGGAGTCTGGAAATGCCGGAGAACCCGCTAAGTTGATCCGACAAAGGTACCGTGAGGCCGCTGACATTATCAGGAAGAAGGGTAAGATGTGCTGCCTGTTCATCAACGATCTCGATGCCGGTGCTGGAAGAATGGGAGGCACTACCCAGTACACTGTGAACAACCAGATGGTGAACGCCACCCTCATGAACATCGCCGATAACCCCACCAACGTGCAGCTCCCCGGAGTCTACAACAAGGAAGAAATCCCAAGGGTTCCCATCATCGTCACAGGAAACGATTTCTCTACCCTGTATGCACCCCTCATCCGTGATGGACGTATGGAGAAGTTCTACTGGGCCCCTACCCGAGACGACCGAATTGGAGTCTGTGTTGGTATCTTCAAGACCGACAATGTACCAAAGGTTGACATCGTGAAGCTGGTTGACACCTTCCCTGGTCAATCTATCGGTACGTCCATGTTCTTTCACCTGTGCACTCTTTTCTGGCTGTCCTGGTGGAAGACTCGCTCCCTGTCCACGTTTGCAACTGTTGATATCAGCATCAGTCTGGATATTGAGTCTAACGAGGTGAATATTGAGTGCAGATTTCTTCGGTGCCCTCAGGGCCCGAGTGTACGATGACGAGGTCAGGAACTGGATCGGAAACGTTGGTGTCGAGAACATTGGAAAGAAGTTGGTTAACTCCAAGGAAGGACCACCAACATTCGAGAAGCCCAAGATGACCATCGCTAAGCTCTTGGAATACGGTAACATGTTGGTGGCAGAACAAGACAACGTCAAGCGTGTGCAGCTTGCCGACAAGTACATGAACGAGGCTGCTCTCGGAGACGCTAACGCTGATGCCATTGCCCAAGGAAACTTCTTTGAAGGTATTACTGCAGTCATTTTTTAAACTGTCGTGTGTGCATTTTTATTGATTTGCTTCATGTTCTATGACATTTCCAGCATCACGTATATGTTATAAGATACTATTATCTATTCAGGAGAAGATTTGCAATCACTGTGAGACCATGGAAGTGTGAACCTCACATTAATTCGCAATTTGCGTAATCTCTGTCTGAACAGACGCTCCTGTCCCAGCCACCTAGAAACAATTTGGTGAAATCAAATCTTCTCCTGCTGCCTGATGCACAAAGGGGGAAGTCCTCGTGGTCAGAACGACTGATAGTTATGCGGTGCGCGTGAATCTGGATTGATTGTCTCCAGGGAAAGCAGCTCAGCAGGTGAACGTGCCTGTTCCTGAGGGATGCACAGACCCAGGCGCTCAGAATTTCGACCCCACTGCCCGAAGTGATGATGGAACTTGCGTTTACGAGTTTAAGAATTTGTAGACTATCTGTCAGGAGAATTCATCTTCATTGTACCATGCGTGCGCGATTCAATCCAAGAGTATCTCAGACTGCAGTCATATGCCGTCTGAAGTATATTCTTGTACTATGATGTAGAATCTCCCCGAGTTTCCAGCTACGAGAGGCTAGTCTCAACCTAAGAGTAGGAGTCGATTAGTAGTAGATAAATGTCTTTTTTTATGTATGCTCGTTGCGGGTCGGAAAATTTTACCGGCCCGTCCGGGCTGTTGTAGGAGGTGAAATTGGCCTGAAGATTGGCCTATCATGATGTAAAGTACGTGGCCCAGATTTTGTACCGCTTGAACAAATTTATCTTGTTAACGCTTTTTTACCTCTTTATTTCTTTTTCTCAAATATGATCGTACATTTGACGATGAAACTATTGTGGAGTGGAATTCAAATTTATCGATGTACATCGAAACACCTATAAATGTGAAGACAAAATGGTAGAAAATATTTCTGAAACATTTAAAAAAGTTAAAAATGCAGACTATTTAAAATAAAAATGAAAAAAAACTTTGTTCAATCTTTGTACAACTTTTTTTTGTTCAACTGGATGTAGCATGAAAAAAAATAGTTACCACTAAATAAAAAAACATGAAAAAATTCTATTTATTATCCAAATAAATGGAGGAAAAGTGAAAAAAATAGAAAAAATTACACAAAAAGATTATAAAAATATTTATTAATATACTAATCTCCAATTCCTCCTACATACTGGTTCTTTTCTACAAAAACATAAAAAACATAAAATCTACATGTACAATATTAATCGAAATATATTACAAGTTAAATAAAATTATTTAACTCTTAAAATGTAACAAATATGTCAATATATTACAACTCATAAAACAAATTATCCCGATCTTAATAATCCAAAATTATCTCATAATATACATAGTAGCACCTCAGCACATAATAATAAATTTTGAGATGGATTTATTCACTTTGCATATACTCTACCTCACATCATTAAATATAAGAAAATCCAAAAAAAATTTCTTTCCACATGAAGGTGATGACTTTAAACTCTCTGAATGTCATTTATTCTACAAAAAGCTATTGAAATATTAGAATATATTTGGCTTGATTTAATCATGTTTTTTTTATTAGCTATAAGCTATGAACATATAAACCTAATATAAAATTGTATTTATTCACATCATTCATTTTGAAAGCACATTTGAAATGATTTCGCATAGATCAAAGTGTATTTTTTATATTTCAAAATGATAATATCATACATATATGATAATAAGACTTTGTGCTCTTACTAACTACTTAAATCTTATATTGCATTATCTAAAATTGAGATTAGTTCATATATAAAATGCAGTAACTTAGATATCATTTATTCTTATACTTTCTCTTTAAAGTCAAAGAATTCGGCATGTGTATTTTTTCTTTCAAATCAAAATGTGTATATGTGGTGACAATATTCACAATCATAATCTCATCTTATCATAATCAATTCTCATCTTCATTTGATTGTTACATTGATTGATAAGTTATAACTCTATTATATTTTATTTTACTTTTTAACATTGAATTTTAAATTACATATCACAATCTGTAAATAATTCACTACTACTTTTGATATACACCTCAAAAAACATTCTATTTTATGAGACTACTAGATTTGTCACAAAAAGTTTTGAACAATCGAGTATAAAATAAATAATTTGTATTTATCTATAGTATAGGAACTTAGAAATGAGTAGAGTAGATGATAGTGTAATATCGACAATGCTACATTAGCACTTTGTGTGCTAGTTGAGTGTATTAGTTGGAATAGACACGTTAACAATTCGTGTGATCATTAGTTATATCCGCCATATCATCAATCCATTATGAGAGAATCATATGTTGGTGAGAAAATTTTATTTTTGTGTATGTGTTTGAAGTATCTATACAAAGCAGAGTAGAACAATTCAATGTATCTCGTCTTCAAAGTGTATGTTTCATCTTTGAGTGAATTTCTCTTTAAAATTTCATCTTACAATTTTATGCACATCATCTTATACCAAACTTGGTTCAATTTTAAATTGTCAATACTATCAATGAAAAATTTTACACTCATTAATGTGATTTCACAAATTTTTTATTTATGCAATAATTTTATATTAAAAGTTAAAACCATTATACTAAGATTGTGACAATTAGTATGATTTTGCAATTATATCTATAAACATTAATTTTTAGCCATCTACTATGGAATGATGTTGCTTAAGGAGGAACAAACCAACATAAGTGTGTAAGGGAGTAACCAACAAGAGCAAGCTGAGGCCGCGGATGAAAAACAAATTATTCTAGTGAGATGAAAGGTTGCAAGATCTGAATTTAATCTTCATTCAGCAAGTAGAGTACGAGCCACAAGAGGATGAGAAGATCCGATGTATACTTGAGCATTGAATGAGGCATTTGCAAAATTGCTAAATTTGTGGCAATCATGTTGACATTCATGTGCATTTGAATTCAAAATTCAGAATTAACAGCCCGTGTAGATTGTGCTTGCGGTCTTCATGTACTATCTCGATGCAAACAAAAAGGCTCGTTGATATTTATCAATCCATAGTCATATACTCAGAAGTTGAAATTGCCTTGCGGTCAATTTCTTGCACTATAGCCTGAAGCATGTACTTTTTTTGAAAAATTTTTATAACAAGGTGACAGTGTGTTGTCGGTGGGTTCCATTAGATAAAACAATACTTGATGTATACATGTAAGTTATTTGTGTTCCAAAGAAATACCATCAAGTATTTTTCTCTGTTTTTACAAATGACTCAAATATGAAGTTTTAATTTCACAGAGAAGAAATTGCCAAAACATCTTTTGTGTATGACAATATCATCAATGAAAAGAACTATGATCACTTATAAAATCAAAACATCTCTAAAATGACTTTCATTCTAAAATTAAGTTCAAACACATATGTCAGTTTATTAAATCAGGTTAAAATGGATGTCCAAAATAAATTTATCACACCGGTTAACACTATATGTCATATTGCTAAGAACAAAATTCCTGCAAGATGACAGAAGATAGAATAGTTGATAAATTCACTTCACTTTCATTATTGATAGAAATTCATATCATGTTTTATATGTCATAACGTTCAATCCTTTGAAGATTTATAATTATCTTCATTCTTCAACGCTAGTTCAAATTATTCTGTTAGACTAAATCTCTAAAACTAATACTGCTTCATCTAAGTCATGCTTCACATTTCAAGAGATAAAAAATGACACGTGTTATTATAATACTGTAGTAATCGTGTCTTCACAAGGCTACTAGTAGTGATATACACTCTTCATAATTGAATGGTTTCAATTTATGATCAATGATTAATTTAAAATTTTTATTAAGTCTTTATGCTATGATTTGTTCATTTACTATTTTTCAATATATTTCAATATTAAACAAGAAAATTTGCAGAACTCTCAAAAACATTTTTTTTATCACATGTATCACAAGACCTCATGCAAATTTTGTTATAACTTTTTAACTATACTTGCAATAAATGTGAAACAACAAACAAAATAATATAAATCCCTCGAACACATGAAACATAGATTTCACTAACAAAGAAACAACATAATGATCAGTTACATGGGTACCCATTTTCGTGCTAGGACCATGAGAACAACAGGATCTTTCTTGAAACACTTTGAAAATGTTCAAATCAAGTTGTGGCTCGCCCCTCCTCTATATATATATTCAGGATAACAAAATACTAAATCTAACCTTAAATATAATTAACATTAAATCCAACTCAAATTAGGTGAACTAAAATTTAACCCGAGACTTGATATCTAAATTATTGCATATCTCACTTTTATTTTGCAGCTGAAAGTATGATTGATTGACCACGTTCGACATTTGTACACATAAGTTGCATGAAAGCAGCTCATGATTACAAATTGAGAGATAGAGGGTTATCGATAGACAAACGAGGTTTGTCAGTTTCTTTTTCCATTTGTTGGCCTCTTCAGTGCCCTCATCCATGGTTTCTACCGATGTGTTCTTTTTCAATATATTCTCGTTTCTCCCCGTTGTCACATTCGCTGGAGAGTTTGACTTACTTCGGCCTTGGGAAGTTGATTCGTGAATGAAAACATACTTAATCAGAGGTGTTCAGAGGAATTCTCCTCTGAACACCGTACTACTCGACACCAGACAGAGAACTCCAATTTATGAGACCGGTTATAAATGTCTTCCAAAAAAATTCATTACTGAGTCGCCATGCCCAACTCTCTTCACACGCCAATTCATCTGCCACCATGTTATTCAGCAAAGGCAAGAATGAACTCAACGGGAAGATCAAGCAATGGAAATTCTATGCATATCTGTGTATGTGACAGGACGTAGAGAGAGAGGTTTCAGTACTTTCGTGTGCCCCTTCTGTAGAGTAGAGGGAATTGTGGCGAGTATGATGCATTCATGTTCCCCATGAAGAGTATGGAACGAGTGGTGGTTCACGAGTACGATGCGAAGGCCCGCCCCATCATCAAGCCGGCCATGGATGAAACCAATCGGGTACCATGGGTCTAAGCCTCAATTTAGAATGAACGCTGGTCTGGGCATCTGTGAGCCCAGAGCCCATTGCAGTGGATTGCACTGTACTTCTTCTGCCGGAAATCGTGACTGAGGTATGTTGTCACGTCGATGTTCAATTCTCCAGCTGAAATGTATCGGACGCATGAAATGGACCCAAATCACATCATGCACCAGCAAATGAAGGCAAATGCGTTCACAGCCCTGAAGTCAAGCGTCGCAGGTTGCAGAACGAGCTCGACGTTCTCCGATTAGACGGGTGACTGCACGCTCGATTCAGACAGAATGGATGGTCGGTCGGTGATCAGAGACCCGCTCATATCCACTGCAGCCCAGAATGCAGAACGGGAAATCTGATTCGATACTCTGTAACACAAACTCTGCATGAGTCAAATTCCTTAAGTCAAGCTGACAGCTACCTTCCCACCCACCTGCATCGAAGCGTTCGAAGGACAGTTCGATAGTTTGTAATCTCAATCCGAGCTCGAAGGCAAAAGGTAAAGTTTTACTTTCTCTGCTTGAAAATCGGTTCCATTTTCTCACCGCATTCATTCTCTATGATGCACCGCTGAGTAAACGGCACCAGATCTAACTCCAGCGTGAGATAAAATTGGAGTTGCTGCGTAGGGCGTCAATATGAAATCTAGCGGCCCCTTCATGCTTCGTAATGAACACGCCTCGAGTTCTGCTCCGAACCTAGAATTCTGTTAGTAGGTTGGAATCGCAGGTTTAGCTTAAATCGTAACTTCCCAGAACAAAATGCCTGTTTGCTGGGTCGTACTATGTCAAGTCCAGCCCTGCGAAGCCCCGACCTGCTTACCTCACTTTCCTATGGTTTCAATTCGCCCCATCTACGGAGATCTACTCCAGGGATCGACCCTTTGAAACAATCGAAGAGGTTTGTCGACCGGTTTGTTCGACTGCGTTTCATTTTGTATCTCTAATCCGCAACAATTACATCTCTGATCTAACTTCTGGTTTCTGAGCAGATTATTTCAAAATCGGCTCAGGCGAAATCACACCGCAGTACCTATGCGGACTGCTGCGTCTCTGTAGTCTCTATGGAGAAGAGCAATCTCGATCAGCGGAGAGGTTACGATGATGGTGAAATCACACTCATCACGGGAAGGTATGAATCGAAGCATGGCCGAATCGAATGTCCAGCGTGTGACGTGAGCTTGGGTGCATGTTCTCGCGTTCGTCTGCCTTCATGACCAGGCTGCTGAATGCACCAGGCGAGATATCCCTCCATCAACATGCAGATCTCGGCCTAATATCTCCTCAACCGGCGAAGGACATCAACCAACGATGCAAAGTATACAGTCGATACAAGTTTCAGTCAAAGGAAGACAACCATGTGAACTCGAGTCAAATACAGTGGACGACACAGAGCAATGTACATGTTCAATGTAACGAGACTACAGAATGTATATCTATGGTTATCTAGATACATTATATCCTCGAGACTCCAGCTATTCCAGCCTTTTACAAATCCACCTGAGCTCATCTGAGCTGCGTTGCATTTACAAGCCTGTAGACAGAGCGTTGTGTGCGAGAGACCGACCTACCACTAGAGCCACCTCATCGACTGGAAGAAAAGAAAGAAGTTTGAGCTGTCTGCATCAGTTCTACACGCTACGGATGATGGCTTTGGCATGTGTCAGCAGAGAGGGAGTGCAGAAGGTCTGGGACTCTGGATCCTGTAAAGTTCATAAAGAAGGCGGAAGGCGGAAGTGCATGAATGGTATGTTCAGTGTCAGAATTTATGTAAATGGAGGACGACAGGTGATATGAGTGATGATATATGCGATGGTGCGAGATGGGTGATCACGTCTGGTTTAGGGTCTGATCCGTGGGTGGGGACGGAGTATGTGCAGCGGTGAAGGTGGAGGCGGCGTTGATGAGGCCCATGGTGCGTTTGCAGGCCGAGAAGAAGTGGTGCTGGTTCTTGAGGGACGCCGAGCGTGCGAGCGGGACCAGAGGAAGCTGATCGCAGTTGCAGACTTCAATCATAAAGCAGTCGGGGTCGTGGAAGAAGAGCTGGTCGATCATAATGCCATCTTCCTCGATCTCCCGTCGCAAGAACTGCACCCCGTTCGCTCGCAGCATTCTCTCCACCCGATCGATGTCTTCGCACTGTCATAAACAGGGACAAAACAGCCTCTGTATCCATGAATTCATCTCAAACCAAGCATCGATTCGTCGTGTTTGTTACATGCACGGATTCTACGCGGTTGTGAAGTTAATATTATGTGAAGAGTACAGACCTGGAAAGACAGGTGGTCGTCGTTGGGATTGAGCTCCTTTCTTTGAGCTGAACCCGGCAATGCCATCGACTGCAATAAATGGATGCCAATTCCGTAATTGAACAGCCTGCATTGACGTGCACACGTAACTCAGAACTCCTCATGCCATGCTGACTCGATTCCATAGTTCGGGAAAGCCCTGGCTTCTCTGGGTGCTGGGGAAATGAGTCATCATCCACTCCAAGGATGGATAACCATCCCTGAGGTGGAAGTCATTATTATCGCCAGCTCCCATCGCTGGCTTGCATCAGAAGGAGGGCTCATTCGAAAGGCTTAGCATTTTCAGTACTGCACCCCCCTCATCTTGACGAAAGAGATGGATAAAGATTTTGACAGTCAGAGGACGTCGCAAATGCTCTGCAGCTGATAAGTGAATAAAAGGAAGGGAGGAGAACATGCACGAGAAGGTAAGAGTGACTTCATCGACCTCACTCGAAATAAAGTCCAATGTATGGGAAGGGGTCGTGAAGATGGAGCACATGCCAGAACTCTGCGACGGAAGCTACTCCGACCTCAAGAGTGCAAGATGTCAGACGCTGGATACATACCAAACACCGCTGACGGCTAGAGACCCGGGCCTCTTGACCTGGACGAAGCCCAACAAATCCTCGTAAAATCTTTGAGACTCTGGCAAGTTGCTGCACTTCCTCGAGATGTGGTTGATACAGGACAGCGGAAGTGCGCTAGCCTTTCGCAGCCTGCTCAAATTAGTATGAGCCATCTGATTCATAGAAACAGGTTGAATGTTTCCTCCTCCATCGACTGTTGGCTCCACGAGTTCCATGATCCAGTCGAAAGAGCTCTCTTAGATAAAAACTTGTTACCAAAAACAGAATTGGCTTCAAACTTCTCTGGCTGGAAAATTGATGCTTTCAGTTGGGTGCTATATCGAGACGATATTACTAATCTGGAAAGTGCGGAACCTGATTCAATCGCCTCAGTGTATCCGAGCAAGAGAATGCGAATGCTTCAGTTTATAGCAAGTTCAGAGTCTGGCCTCACAGAATTCTCAAAGACCTGAAGATGAAGATGATCCCCAACACACTTTCTCGAAATTGCCGCGTGCCACAGAGTCCCGAACTTCCATGTGAGTATACGGCAGGAGACAGAAAGCATTTCAAACACGAACAGAGATGGAAGCTTTTGCGTAGCCGTCACGTCCATACTCGTCCAGACGGCTGTCGATTCAGTACTCTGCTGGCATTAGAACCCGGAGGCAGCATTCATGTCCGAAAATCGCACATTTTCGCTTCTCTTGCAAGAAAAGTGCATGCTTATGTGATGGTCAAGTACTTGGACTTATCATTCAGAGAGAATGAGGGAACCTTCTGTATGACTCATTGTTGTCACATCCTTCCCTCCGCTGACGAGGAGGCTTGAAGTAATGATTAGTTGTTCGTTCAGCCCAAGGAAGGAGCGAATTTCATTTCTCTTTTGTTAATCACGGCATGTACGATTAATTTTCATTCGAGTTATTGTCGCAGCAAGTTTTGTTCAATAATATCTTTCATTATCCATATACAAACTCGGTGGCTTGAAATGTGAAGTATGACATGCTATACACATGCTATACTGCAGATTAACGACGGTGCAACAAAGCGTGGAGCACCAACGTGTGACAACAGATGTGTAAAGTAAGCCATGTTTAAGACAACTCTTTGGGGCTTCAGTTGGTGCACCATGTGATGTAAAGTATGCTTCTCAGTCCCGTTTTTGGTATTATGTGTTCGACTACGTGAAGTACACTTCTCAATCTCAGTGCTGGCAAAAAAAAAATTGGGCTTGCCCGGTAAACCCGGTGATAACTCCAGTTACCAGTTCCATAATCTGGATCAGACTGCTCATTGTCTTCACCGGAGATGTATGAATATATTCTTATCGAATGTATATATGTATGTATATACTTCTCGAATTCAATAGCTCGATCTAATCAGGGGGATTAATCAAACTAAACGTAGTTACGTAAGTACTGCATCAACTATGAGACGTCGTTCAAAGAATTCTCCAACGATCCGTATGAAGTCCAATATGACCAACTGAATCTCCCTCATCATGCTCGTATTGTGATACTTCTGTACAAATAGACGTTTCCAGCGAAGCTTTGGCTGGAAACAAGAGAACTTCATCAAGGAGCAATCCTGAAGAGATGATGCAAATTCTCCATGTACAGCAAAGGCACTCGACCGCAAATCTTCTCAGAGTCCAAAGCCGCGAACCGGATTCTGATACAAACCTCGGCGGACACTTCGAAGCACGAAAAGAACGTTGGCAGCCAGTCGAGAGAAGGACAATCGACAAAGAGACATTATTCATACCGGTTTTACTAAAAGAAGAGACGAGTTATGGATAACCACCGTCCTCAACGTCGGTACGCAAAACCAGAATAAAATATTCTCCTTACTAAATGAAGTGACAATTTTATATTTCGGCCTGTGCAAGGATTGCCAGATTTATATGCTCTCCTTTTCACGATATTTCTAATTTTATCATTCTCTTTCAGTCTTTACAAATGGAAAGGTAAAAGAACAACAGTGTTTAGATGGCGGAACTTCCATCCGTTAAGAACATTTTCTCTATTTTTATTCCGATTTATAATGAATTGAATGTAATCATCACCAATCATATGTACAGTTTTATTTTTTCAAAGAATTCACTTTGACAATTAAATTCAATAGTATAATATTATGTAAAGTTACCAAAAAATAGATTTGTTATAATTCGAACATTCTATTAAATATATTTTCGTATATAATGCTTGTAATGATGTTCTTATTTCATACGGAGATATCGTTTGTGGATGATGTATGTCTTCTTTAAATTTTTGTGCTCTAACAAACTCTTTACTTACTTTACTTATGGAATTCTTTCTCTCCTCCTGTCTTTCATTAGGAATGCGGAGAGATAAAACTTTTACTTCCCCTTTCTATAAAAGCATTGTTTCGCAAATTCAAAATTGGAAGTTGGATAATAGCTTGTCACGCATGCCTGGGTTCTTACTCAACCAATTTTTTCGCAAATCAAAACGGCTCATTATAGATATTCACACCTCGTCATATGATCGTGATGCGATAGTCTATATGGATTTCATGAATTTCGCAAGCCACAAGGTGATGTTCAATATTACAATCGTTGAATCAAACTGAAACAACAAGTACATTTGTATGTTTTTCTCTCGTTTCTATCCATTCTGAACAATTGTTTGTTCGTTTCTAAGTTAACCCAGTAAAATTTTCATGATAATTAATACAGAAATATCAAACGTCCAACGATAAGAATAATTGAAAGTTGTATGATTAATCTTAATGCATATATATATATATATATATATGTGTGTGTGTGTGTGTGAGAGAGAGAGATAACAATCATGTTCATGTGCAATTTTTAATGCTTTTAGATTTTGAAGATTTATGTTGACATAATCTCATAGAGATGTTATTAAGTCCAGTTTTGAAGTAAGTTGTTGGCTTTATTTTTTCAATTCGATACTTTCCAAATTTTTATATTTTTATTATATATGTTTTTTTGTTTTATTTCTCTTCAACATAGAGATATATATTTATTGATGTATAATACTACTTTAACCATTATTAACTACCGACTAGAGTAAGATGAATTTGCAATGATCGATTTCATTGAAACATGATGATATATATCACAACAAATCATATATTGTATTGCTGTAAAACGTAAATTACGGACAAAATCACCTTCAAAGAGATTGACATATATATCAGATTTAGTTTAGCATAACTGATAGTCTACTTTTAGTCTATCACAGTCCACAATTACATTAGTTTTAAAACGTCATAATGTTGACAAGGTTACAAATAATCATCCTGAACATCACCAGATCTGAAAAGCATGTTTAAGATAAAAAAAAAAAATCAAGTTGTTCATTAAATAAAAGAACATATCAAAATTTGTATATGGTTGTACATAGATCTTTAGATATAAAATTTTCTAATCAATTATGAAATATTTTTTTATTTTCTTCATTGAACTTCTCATTGTAGCTTTTTTTTCATATAGTAAAAATATAATGTAAAAAGTCATCCCAAAATTTTGATGTATGTTATGATATTTTCAACACCATATCCAATCTTATCTAAACTAATTAACTGAGATACTTGAACAAGCACAATATACCCTAATTCCTCTTGAAAAAAAATGATTATTTAGACACTTGTCAAATGTTACTTAGACCAAATACCGGTCTCTCTCATAATGCAGTATGAACTGTTAAAAAAGGGTTAAGGGTAAAAAACTTTAAAACATCTGACAGTATACACAAGCAGAAATGAGCAGAGAAGACTGATAACACACACAGATTTAATGTGGTTCGTCCTGGCTATGTCCGCAGAAATCGATAATATGTGTTCGGCAAGTCTAGATGATTCGCCGCGCTAAGTAGTATAGCAGGAAGCTAGAAATACTAACTTTTCTTTATAAGTGCATGTATCCATAGTCATTCACAAGTTAAATAAACTGCCAAAACCTTTATGGATAGTTTAGGAGTATAGGGTACTGTCGACGGGAGTTATTGATAAAAGAAACAAGAGGTATTGAATCTATTGATCCAGGTCTACTTTCTGCCATAGTATAACCCCAAAAATTGAAGATTTTCAAAAAAAATTCATCTCAACTATGTCATGAAAGTAATTCAAATCAAATATATTGATTGAAATTTGGCCAAAAATTAAGAAATTGCATGAGTGAATTTGATTTGTAATTTGTAAAAATTTTAAATTACATCATATATTTTATTGTACGAAAAAAAAATTAAAATTGTTTTTTCTAAAATTTCAAAATTATATGAAGTAAATTGATTACACTAAAGTTCAAAACATAAACACTCATGTTCATTAATCTTCAAGTTTACATGAAAATAGGAGCAAACGATTTGAATTTTGAAGACTTTAAAAGTTTAAAATTATATAAAATCAAGATTAAATATATTATATAAATTTATTTTATTAAATATAAACTGATTTCAATTGATTTATGATTTAAATATAAATAATGGATAATATTTTTATATTTTAGGTATTATAAATTTAATTGAAATTAAAAAAATTTAAAGAATTTTCCAATTTAAAATTATTTAAAATTTAAAATTTCAATACTACTATATGATTACACAAAAAACGAAAAACTGTATCAGTATATTCCATATTCATAATTTAGATCGTAGATAGAAAAAAATCAATATATTTATTCAAAAATATTCTTCTACAGGAAATATTTTGTTTGTAATAAACTGGACATGTATATTGATGAACAACCAAGAAAGAATCACTCACATTAAGGTCTTGCATTAATCTCATATCCATGCAACAATGCCCTGATATAAATCACTTGCAAGTTTCTTATATAGTTCTTAGCTAAACTTTACATTACGTAGAATTAGTGTAACCTCAATTTGAACTTGGAAATTGGAATTGATCCATTAAACGTTTCCCCCTGCCACGTAGACTGAAAAAACAACGATCTTACTACGACAATCTGTTTCTACATAACTGTAGTCTTACCTTAATCTTCACGCTGAAAGTATCTTTATACTTTTCTTTTAGCTTCTATGCTTTGTTTCCTTTTCTCTTTTCGCTCCATCTCCCCCAATTATCTTCGCAAATTTGTAGTTGACCATTCTGCCCTTGTGCCTTGCCAATCCAAAGTTATCGTGTAAAGGTTCGTCACGTCAGCACAATGTGAAATCTGCTTACTCTGCTTAAAACCCTTAATTTTAATGTTAAACTTCTCAAGTTGGTATGACTTTGCTGCAATCTGGATGCGATGGTGGTTTATCGTAGATTTGTTTCAATTTTTCTAACCGCAAAAAATCATTTCCTCGTAACCAAGCCAATTGTGAGTAAATTAAAGTAGACAAATCGACATATAAAACACACTCTAGGTTTGTTTTCAAAAAAAGAGGTAATCCAGTTTACTTTAGATATCATCAACAGATTCACAAGCGCGAATCCACAAATACATGTGTACTCATCAAATTGATAAATATATCATTTATGTCTGTAATACCAGGAAAAGAGGAAAGAAAGAGTTGAGGATAAAAGAGACAGGAGAGAAAGTAGGGAGGAGATAGGAAATGGAAGCAACGAATTAAACGAAAGAGAAGGTATATAGAAGAGCAAGGAAACATTCTCAGATTAGCAGTGATCGAACGGTAGGTCTGAAAAATATCGGGGAAGTTGTACAATAATTGTCGCACGGAGGTGGTTCAGTTGTGTGGTGGATCGAATGGATCGAAGCAATGGCTCACATGCTCTTGCAATTAACGAAACTCTCAGCGTAAGAAAAGCATTTCTTAGCTAATACTCGAGAGGATAAGTGCGATCAGTGACTGATTTGTTTGTAGTGAAATCATTTCTGCGACCGTGTTAAAAAAAGGTCCCGTGGACAAGAGTGCATCTGAGAACATCCCACAACCAAGCACCAAAATAAAATGCAGAGGGAATGGGACAAGCAGCTAAAATGGGGAGAGAGCCTCCAAATATAGCTGCTGCTCCTCCTCATCCTGCTGACAGAAATGAGGGTGAGCCCTCCCCTGCATGCGGTGAACGAAGTTCGTACGAGACGATGCACTTCCAATTATAAAAGCTCGGCGAGGGATGCTGTCAGTGTGGACATTAAACGTGTCAAACCGTCCGCTGGGCCTTAAGTCCGTCCAGCGAGAGTGCATGAATGCTCACGAGGCGACTGCTTGGGTCAAGAAGCTCATCAAGAGCCATGAGTCACTCGGTTTGACCCCCCGCTCGTGTTGCGCCCTGCTAACCATTTGTTTTCGAATCCCAGATCTTGGTCTTGCCCGCGCCCTCTCTGCCCGAACCGTCGATCTGCGAGGCAGGTATAACATCCAACAGCGGTCTGGTGCAAGCACGATGCTATGAAAGGGGGTCAACTATTGGCCTGGCCTTTGCTTACACGCGTTTGTACTACGATTTGTGCAAGTATAGTATATGTAATGGTTACACAATGGGAATTAATTTGAATGCGGTTCAGAATTAATATAAGTAGAGTAAGATAATATAATTAATAAAAGTATAGTTTACTCTATCTTCTATTTTGAAATTTTCTTCCTTGTGAAATATTAGGATGAGGAAAATAATTAAAAATAGATGAGGTTAGAATAAAGTAGTTGGAGATAATTATGTGCTTATTTTTTCTTTTGATCAAGGCTACTTTTATCAAAGCGAAGTTTTTAGTTGATAATTTTTTCTGTCGGTGTAATAGAATATATATGTATATATATATTTTCCAAACATAATATTTATGTTACTAATCGTAATTCTTCAATTTCAAAGTTGTAGGATTGAACTCGAAACTTTATACAATTCATGATTAGTAAATTACATTCACTCATTCATTTTCATTAATCAGACCACGCTGCGAAATTGTATGGAACAATGCTCTTCAGCTCAAATCGACGTAAATCAATTGTGTCTCACATGATGAAGAGACGAGTTTACTCAAATCACGTAACCAGGTCCGAGTGTACACAAGCCCACTCAGGTGTAAAATCCAAACATTCAACATGCTCGTGGGGCGGGTGGCACAATCTCGCTAACACCACAAGATCCCCACGATCAACAATCCTCACTGCTGCCCTTCGGCCCTCTCCGGCCCCCTCCCCCTCCCATTCTACTCCACAAAGCCCCCTGGGTACGGTAATTAACAGCACATCCTGCAGAAAGTGGGCGCTGTGTGTTCACACTGTGTCTGTACACGCCTCCTCCTTTCTACGAGCGGCACATTTTGCTGAATTGCGGCGATAGAATCCAAATAATTTGAAAATTGTTCTGGCCTCGAACCAATTTTATGTTCGGGCACGGTGTAGTACACTATGAAGAGATTTCACACCACCTCGTGGGCTTGAGTACAAGCCCTCAGGGTTGCTATTTAAAATTGTTGTCCGCTTCGAAGGTCTGGCCGAATTTCCAGTCCTTGGGCGCCACGTTCGAGAATTCCGTGGAAACACCATTCCCTAGCGTAATCTTGAACGACAATGCCTGACCCACGACATTCGCGCTGGCCGACCAGAATTGCCCCCAGTTCTGGCTCATGTAGTACCACCCGGTCTTCTCGCCCTTGATCGCCAGCGCCGACACATCTCCTGCACCTGCGACGTTGTGCACCAGAATGTAGTTGAAGTAGGGGTTGCCGTGGATGGTGAATCGGACTCCTCCGGACTTGGCGCAGGCAACTCTGGAATCAATTCAAAATGCCCACTTTTAGCAACGCAATTTACGATTCCACGATTCTACGATTTACAATTTCACATTTCGACGTGCTGTGCATGGCCACGAATCGAGCTATGGTACGTGAGCAGGAATTCGGCGGAAACTCAGGGATTGAAGTTCGGCTATGCACCTTTTGTACTTGATGGGGATGACACCGCCGACGGGCTGGGCGAGCTTCTGGAACATGGGGTAGGACAAGTCAAAGTGGAGCTTTGGGGGATCGCACCATCCTCCCTCAGAGCCGGGTGGGCACGAATTGGTGGCAGTGATGGTGATGCTCTTGCCGGGGTAGCAGTACTTGCTGCCTTCCAGCTTGCACACGAGTTCGTAGCAAGCTCCGCAGGTCAGACCTTTGTTGAACATCGCATAGCTCAACGCGGCGGTCGACACTCCGTACCCGACGGAGTAGAGATTGCCATACCCGCAAGCACCACCTGCATCGATCAGGACAAACACGAGTTACACCTTTGCGCCATTGTTTGTTGCCCTGAAAGAACAATTTCCAATCCTGCCGAATAAGAATTTCCTCCTAAGAACTTCTGATTTGAATCAATGTCCGCTTGCTTGCTTGCTTACCCATGGTGCCGGAAGCGTCCTGTCCGCCATAGAATGTGGCGTGGGCGTCACCCCAGTCTGTGACGGCCCAGGCGGCCACGGCCTCGACCGTGGACACCTTGCTGAGCAGCAGAAGGATCGCCGCGAGCGAGAGTTGCAGCGCCATGGATGCCATCGCTCTACACAGGAGCAAGAGAACACGTCAAGAAAGGTCCCGAGACGTGGCGGGGTTTCAGAATCCCAGGCGGTTGTGAGGAGAGCTGAAATCAGGCTCGTGGACTCAAGCCACGGTCGGCCGACATGAAGGTGAATGCAGAAATTCCCATCCCAGCTAAATTCCCCGACCCCAGCCCCACCCTGCCTCGTAAGGCCTACTACTGCCCGCACTACGAAGCTGTCAGGGAATGCCGCAACTTTCAATGCCTCAAGACCTCGAAGAGAATCTGAACCAGACCCGGAATGCAGAACGTTCAAGAAGTGGGCGAGGAACGACTAAATAACAAAATGGAATCATCCCTGCTCTACCCACTGCAAGCCTTCCTCCCTACGCAGCAATTCGACAATCGCATCCTGATTCCAATGCCTACTTTCACGCTTTACGAGACTACTCGGTCCAGAGACATCAGATCCCAGCTCGACGACTCGGTGAACCTCAGGCAGCTGAACTGTCACGACCCGACATGCGATGCACGGAGTGCAATGCAACACAATGCAGAGAGAGTGAAGAAGTGGAGTGAAGTGGAGTGAAGTGAATTGAATTGAAGTGAGGTGAAGTAAAGTGGGGGAGGAGAGTGAGTCAGTCAGACTGAGAGAGTTCGAAATCCAATGCAGTGTGCAGGCACTCACCCGTGCAATGTTCGGGGCGATCGCAGGGAAAAGGGAGGGAAGCCGGAGTGTGTGACGAGAGGAGGAAGGGGGATCTACTGAGTCGAGCACACTCAGGCCGGTGAGGCAGAATTAAGCAGGTCAGGCCTTATAAGGCACGGAGGCCATCGCGCAGTGGGGAAGGGGTTAGAAGCGGGGCCCACTAAATTAGAGGCGCTTCCAACTGCCTGCGCTCGCCCTCTGAGCCGCCGCCGACGTTGCCGGACTGGATGAAGAAGGAATGTCTCCCACGGACGGAACTCCTGAACGCCGATGGCGTCGACGACAGCCCCCTCGCCGTCTGCCTCGGCCCAACTTGACTACTCGGTTCTCCTCGTCCCTTCCAAAATAAGCAAGCCCTTCTTCCCCTCTACCCCTACCCCTACCCCCACCCTTAACCCCAACCCCAACCCCAACCACAGCCCCTAACTAACCCCACCCCCAACCCCGCGCTTCGTTTCGCACCCGGTTGCGTTAGGTCGGGGATTAGGTGCAAATGCGCAAGTGGACGCGGTGGGTTTCGGGGTTAGGGCTTGATCGAACCCCCGAATCTAAACCCCTACACAACTTGGCCCCTCCCTCCCGCACCAATTTCCAAACCCCTCGAGGTGGGTTTGCTCGTCCATTGGCGGCCACTGCATCTCGGAGTCCCGGTGCATAATGATGACGATGGTGGTCGTGTGTGTTTCGCATGTTGGCGAGATTATTCGGACTCATGTGGTTCATGTCGGTGTCCGAGTTTTGCATCTCAATTTTCCTTGCATTTAATTTGTACCTCGATCGGGTGCAAAACATTCTCTTCACTCCCACACCATTCCTTGCTCATGCTAATCATTCCGACGGCAAAGAGAGGCCTCCGTGGCGGCCACTGGACTTCCTCCGCCTACAACTTGCGCAATTGACATTATTTTCGTGAACATGTAAATTCTTCGGGTTCTCGGAGACTCGGTTGAGCATTATTTTTCTGCTTCGATGCTCGGCATTATTCCGCCATACATCCATCCATCCATCCAAAGTCTCTGAATAAGATCTTTACACTAGTCTTCAATCTCGGCCTGGCTTGCTTTAAGGACAAATCGAGGTGTTATGTGAGTGTCCCGGTATTATACCTCACGGCTTGTCCTGGTGATGGCGGCCATCTATTATTCCAATCAAATCTTCTGCTGTTTGTACCTACTGTACTTAGGAGCATATCCTGCCCTCAGGTGTTAAAACTGGGCTCAGAAGTTTGGCGTCCATCGCTTTTTTAGTGTCAGTTCATGTTCTTGGTAGTCGAGTCGAGGGCAGCAGAGGGTTCGAGGGAAAGTGAGTCTACGTCGAGGGCACGACATTGTCGTCTCGGTTTGTTGTAGTAGTGGAGGCAGACATTTTGATTCCCGATCCAATCTTGATCCATTCACACCTACTGCGGAATATAACCGCGGATTGCAAATCTGCAAGCTTGTGGTCTCCGAATCGACAACTTCGCAATTTCTGCTGTGTCTTCGACACACCATAAAGACTGCAGCGCCTAACAACTTCTTGCCTATTCTCCCCGCCTGAGAATCCCAGCCATATTTCCAGCTTCCATCCGCTGGACGAACTCATGAGCTTTAAGCCCACTGCCCAGTGCATGCCCCAATCGCTCTCGTATGAAAAGACCACCCCGCTCCTCATTTTAAAATAAACAAATGCGCCCTTTTTGTCCCCTCGCCCACTCCTCTCCTTCGTGGAGCCCAATCAAATTCGAAACCCGGCCAGCCCTCCTCTTTAAACCAGCACATCGAATCCTTCGGTCGCCTGCAGCGTTCCAGCATGCACGCTATTTGAGTGAGCTCGATCAATTAGGAGACGTATGTCAGATTTTAGATCTCAATATATATTTAGGTGACTGACTGCCTTACTACGTTTTTCAAATCCGGGCCATAAAAGTCCTCCGAGGCTGTGGCTAATCTCCACATCGAGCTACTTACTACCCAAGGCCGATCCGAAATTACTCGACCCGGCCAAAATCTGGACCGGGATTCCGAGGCCGAGAACTGAACCCGGTAAATAATTCCGCAGTCGAATGCGGAGCGGCGTTCTCACGCAGAATCCGCGGGCTTGTCTCTTTGCTTGGGGCGGGCAGGCGAGTACTGTGCGATGAGAGTTGCCATGTTGCCATGCACTCGCGAGTCCAAAGCCCGGGGCAATTTGTCAACTTAAGGACGGAGAGATGAGGAGTTCGATGTAGGCGGATAAGGGGAGCTGTCTTATAAGCTTGGCAAATGATCTCAAATGATTTCGCATGATAAGTGTATGTCGGATTTGCGGATATCTGTGTCCGCCTTTGTCGAAGGATGAGACGGATGAGACGATCGAGAGACGTATCCGCTCCCCCGCCCCAAGTGCACCGGATCCAGTCACGGGGCCTACGAAGTCAGCCCCCGCGGACTCCAATTCCGCAGCAGCTGCAGCCCTCGTCTAGCCGACTGTAGATCGATCGGACCCTAGACACCTCCTCCTCCTCCTCTTGCGAGAGAGGGTCTGAGAATTGCGCGCGGTCTCGTGTGTCGTGTTTTGGGCAAGTAGAGCAGCGCAGCACATGGTTGCCACCAGCAGCAGCGAGAAGAAGCCGATGCTGTCTGTCACCTCGCACTGTTGGAATCTGGCTTCCTGAGCTCGACTTTGTCCGTCTCCCGGCGGACATCGTCGTCGTCGCCTTCTCGAGCGAGACGTTATCCGCCAGCGAGTCCAGTCGTCGAGTGCCGACCGAGCGCAGTGCCCGAGCTCGGGGGCAATCGGGGGGCACTCGGGGTGACTCGGGAAGCCCGACCGACCGAGCGACCGGCCACTTCCATCGCCGGCCGTCCTCCCACGTGGTCCTCCGAGAGAACTGCGCTGGGGGCTGGGGGCTGGGGCTGGGGCTGGGGTTACCACTCCATCCACATCGCAGTAACCACTCCTCCGTTTACCGCTAACGCGGTTCCGGATCGACGGCGGACGTGGTGGTTCTGGTGGTGCTAAATTGGGGCCTATCTGAGCCCCCTCCAAAAAAGCAGTAGCCCCTCCCTCGTTCCTCGACCTCTCTCTCGGTGGTTGATGACGGAGACGGGGCTTATATTTTTGACATCTCATAAGTGCGAGCGTGGGGTGGGAAATGGGAGCCCGATTTAGGCCCCTTGGAAAATTCAGTCTTCCCTTAATCGATCTCTTTCGGTAGTTGCTGACAGAGCTCGGCACGATAAATTTGACATCTCCCTCTCCTCGGTGGGTGGTGGCCCGAAAATAATACACCCAATTCGTTAATCGAGCTCTTTCGGTAGTTGGTGACAGAGCTCCGCACGATAAATTTGACCTCTCATTAGTGCGCGTCTCCGATTTGGGGAAAACCTGAGTCCTGACTCACGCGGCAATGCGAGCAGGGCCGACCATGGTCGGTCGATCGATCGATCAATGGACCCCAACCATGGCAAACGAACGCTGTTCGATCTCGATCTCGTTCTCTCTCTCTCGCTCTCGCTCTCGCTCTCGTCTGCCATGAGAGTACGTCGTGTACGATGGCGCCAGCGGAGTCGAGTCGGACTGCGAGAAAGTGACAAAAAAAGCATCCACGAGTCTGAGCAATGTTGCGCCTCGGGGGGGAGATCCGCGCAACACATTCTCATGGTCATGCAGCAGCAGCGGGGGGGCTATCCACTGCGACGGTACAGGCCAAGAAGCGTCGGGCAAGCGATCTGACTTATTGCCGATTTGTCGATCGGGGCACATGGAGAGCAGGAAATTCGGTGGGGGACCCAGCCGAAGCCGAGGCTATGAGCCCTGCCTGCTTCTTAGTCTTACGCGTTGGCTTACCTCCGTCCCGGGCTCGGCCTATTATTCGCTCTGTCTTCGCGAGGCGCAGTAAATTGCGACCATGTGCGACCACCTTCGCCGCGCGCGGGCACGGCTGCAATGGACCACACATCGCCCCTTTCCCTTTCTTATTTTAACCCGTGTTTGGCTCGACGAATTGGCCTCGCAAAAGCGGTTTTGGATTTCTTCGCTCGACCGCCCATCCTCCTCCTCCACCAGCACCATCAGCAGCAGCAGAATCATCAGCACGACAAAATTGACTTCCCCTCGTTGGGGTGGATAATCGTGCCCGACGATGCGGAGGACGAGGAGGAGGAGGAGCAGCAGCAGCAGCAGGAGCAGGAGTGGACCCTGCTTCCCTCCCGTTTCATTCTTCTCCGGGCGGACTCGGACTCGGACTCGGACTCGGAGCTCCGGCATAGCTCTGGACGGCCCAAATTCCTCTTCCACGCAAATAAAGCTCACGGGGGACCCCCTGGAGTCGAAAATAAGCTAGCGAGGGCAATTAGGGAGTGTCAGATAACTTCTACATGCATGTCTCGTACAACACGCCAAGTGGAAAGGAAATGGGTGCCTCAATGTGCATCGATCGGGCAACCACATGTGGATTTGAAGTTTTAAATTCCTGGGTGGCCTTGTCCATGGGCGAGCACTTCATCTTGTCAGCAGGACTAGTTATTTCATACGAAGCGCCCCATACCATATTTTTACTCACCTTCAATTATAGACTGCTCCGACTCACCTTTGTGTGCACGATAAGTTTTCCTCTTATTTTTTTTAAAATCATATTTGTTTGAGCGCCATTGCATCTTCATGGGCGGAGTTTGGAAGTGATTTGTCAGGCGGTGTTCGTGCTCTCACTAACACAACAACTCTTGCTTAATGATCTGCTCGATAGATAGATAGATAGATAGATCATCGGAAACCTTTAATTGATGTATAATGAGCTCCCTTCTCGAGCGAAGATTATTAAATTCGTCGTGTAATACTTGTTCGATGCTCTCGGTGTCATTCTCTAGCGCATCGAGGAGCAGCATTCCAGCACCACTACTGGAAATGGAAGGCAGTGGTCACCCCTTTTTATGCACAAGTTATTTATGAATATTTCCCAATGTAACCCGCAGAGCAACACCTGCTGCTGCCAGCACTCGCACCAACATCATCCTCTACAGCAGTGACGTCTGTGCTACAACAACATGTGGAGAACCCCAGAGCCTGAAATGTAGACCGGCCGGGGCATGTGATGGCCATCTAATAATCTACAGACCGACACTCCATAAACAACCTTTGGGTGAGCAGAGGAGGGACTTTTGTGATTCTCTAGTGACCACAGTGGTGGGTAGGGCTAGCGCAATCTTCTCGTGCAAGGTCATGGGATCTCTTGGAGAACTCGAACACATTTACCTTCTACCAATCCTCGAGCTGTACACATTGTGCCCGTCGACACGACACGGAGGGGGTAAAATTTCGCGGCATTCGGGGTCGTCGACATGAGAATGATCGTTCCAACAAAATATATTCTATGCTCTCAGGGCTTCTGTACGTCGACTTCACGACCAAGAAAACAGCCATCATTCTGTAGACGGAAGAATCGGCTGTACGTACATATCACAAGCTGCTGCTGCTGCTACTGCCCGCATTCTAACTAACTATATTTGAAGCACAAGGATTCACTGATTCAGTTCTGATCCCATCAGAGTACGACCATCAGAGAGCAGAGCAGAGCGACTGTGCGACCCATTTCCTATTCTTATTCGTCTGTGTGTCAGAGCATTGGCTGCACCTTCTCGCATTCGGTGTGACACCAATCCACCAGCCAAATCAAACACCGAAAAATGCGAACAGCTCGGCGAGAATGACGGACGACACTGCCTCACAGATCAGGACAGAGCCACAGTGCATAGTTCTCGCGACCTCAGCATACGATCGATCGATCGATCAGATTCATCAGAAGAGTGCAGGGATCGAATTCGAACGACCAGCGATCGGCGATCGGCGATCGATCGGCAACACGAAGTGTGCCATCGGGGAGGGGAACGATTGCAATTGCTTCGGCCGGACCACGTGTCGAGATCGGGCCCGGGGCGACCGGTGGCACGGACCGGGGCCGGCAAATCGGTGGAGGCCGTCGCTGTGCAGATTGCTGCAAGGCGGCCGTACGTCCGGGAGCTGCACCGCCTATCGCAGGTCGCCGAGAGAGAGGGCCCCCAGCGCCCAGCGGCCGCAGATGATCAGAGAGACTGCTTCTGCTGCGACATCCATTATATTTTATCCTGTTCGATATCCGCCATCAATCGCTTTGACCCCTTGACTTTCCTCCTCCTCCTCCTCCTCCTGCTCCAGGCCCCTGCGACAGCCGTCCCATGCATCATTCAACAGGTGTAACGAGAACAGTATCTTATCCTGGCCCAACATTGATTCGCTCGGAGCCCCCCATTCTGAAGATTGCCGAGCAGACGGCCAACATGCACCAGCCGATCCGAGCTCCGTCTCGCAGGGAGTCCGAGTCACCAGAATTTCGTAGCCTCGGCATCCCTCTCCTGCTCTGCGCAAAGGGGTTCGGATTGCTTCGTTTAATAATGTTTATTTCGGAGAGGATCGGCGATGGTTTCACGATCTGCGAGAGAGAGTCCTGCAAGAGGGTTTCGTCGCAGATGTCGCTCATGGAGCCGCTAGCTATGGCAACATGGCGTCGTCGTCGTCGTCGTCCAGTAGCGAGTAATGAACTGGAATGCACGTCCCGAGATGCGACCCCAGGCTTTCTTTCAGAACCCGCCAAGAGCATTGAAGGGGTCGAGAGCTTGGCGTCGATCGGATGTCTCCATCCAACTAACTCTAGGCTCGGGCTGGGGCATTAACTCGGCCACAGAGAACATTTGATTCATTCATGGACGGGGGTCTGGTGCCCACGCATTTCCTTGTCTCGTCTGCATGCGGGCCACAAAGCCAGGGCGCCATTAATCGTGTCTTACCCAGAAATTTATGTGCACTGTGAGTCAGATTGTGTCGTGCATGGAGGCCAAGTCGAATGTTGATTTGGCACCCACTTCCCTGGTCTGTACACAACACCGCGCGGCCGGGAAGACAAACCATGGGCCGATCGGGCAAAGTAGTTTGCGGTCGACATCGACACATTCATGTGCCGATCGGGGGTGTCACGACTGACCTAAACATCTAACATCCTCCTCGAGACCTCGTCATTGTCGAGTACTTTTGACTCATCACTGCCCTCCCGACTTTAATGGCCAATTCTGTTATTTATTTCCTCGTGTAGAAGCCGCCCAGCTTTACGCCCCCACATGAATCAATGTTTGCAACGCGCCCCCTCCCTTCATCTACCTCCACTCCACCTCCACAAAGGAGCAAAATTCTCTCCGATTCCCATCCGATTCCTTTGCTGCGGGACGAATGTCCACTTGGAAGTCGTACTCGCCAACTTCTTCCAACCAACAACATCTGCCGGACATGCTTCTCGCTCGCTACTGCATAGATGGTGCCACTGTTGTACACGCGCCATCGTTGAATTTCTCTCATCCGCATCCAATGATTTCCACCCCCCTACTGCAATCACCTATCGATCGATCGGCTCCGCGATCGCTGCAGATGCAAACCACCGATGCACAACTCGAAGCCCGTCGTCGTCGTCGCTTTGCGCTCACTTGCGTGATTGCCCCTGCTGCAGCCCCCGAGCCTGGCTTAGCCCTCGAGCCGTGGGTTTAGGTTAGGGGGAGTGGTTAGTATCTTGGCTCCGGGTGCTTGACCTTGTGCATAAGCCAAGCCCCGGAAATAGTTCCCTCGGCCCGATGCGCGGAGCAATAATAGCCGAGCCCCCATCGGCTCGCTTGGGCTTCAAGACGTGCGCCTCGACACGACCTCCGATCATCCATCTCCCCGCTAACCCCAACCCCCAGCCACCGTCCGTTCGCGCGGATGGTAGTTGCGAGCTTTCCGTCCGCCACGCCCGCTTCCCAGCCCCCGGCTGGAGGTTTTTCGTCAAGAAAAGAAATCCGGGAACGGGCCCGATTGGCGACGTTCCAAGATATTTTGAATTTTGAACCTCGAGGGGGTGGTCAAGCCCCGCGGCGAATCCCGGCCCTCGATGGGGCTCTCGCTCCGAAAGGACCACCGGCGCTGCGACGCGGCAGATGCGGACGTTCCCGCCGAGCCAGGCGCCGAGGGCCCGTAGGCTTCGAAACGCCCGGAGTAAAGCAGCCCCACCAGAATAGCGGCGCCGCCAGTTTCAGTGGGGGAGACTGGGAGGAACCGGACAAGCCAAGCCACTCGCAGCAGCGCAGGTGACGTACGTCGAAGGTACACGTACGAGGACGTACGCCGGGGGCTTAGATGTTCGAATCCGTCGCGGGGGCGTGGTTATCTTGGGGGGGTACGGACGCGACTGTCGCTTCGGGCAGTGAAAAGTTACTCGCCGGATGTTACTGCGGGGGCTAGAAAATTAAACTAAAGCTCGCGGGGACTCATGATATGGCTATACGACAAGAACGACTTCAGACATTAACGTCCCTGAGATCGCGGCCGGCCATCGGTTTTACGATTTTCAACTAGAAACGGACATACCGAACTCCGTAGCGAACGGCCGCCCAGTCCCCGAGTCCCACGTGGCAGGGGCTCTTCTTTACGCGGCACACTCCACCCCGGCCCTCTCTCTCGTTCTGTTCTCGTTACAGTACGTTATGGTTCTCGTATAGTTTACAGTTGGTACTCGTGCTTGCCACGGCCCAATCATCGGGCGACATTGCGCTGTGCATCTCGGGGCATCGTCGGCATTCCTCCATAGCCTCGATCTCGATCTCGATCTCGCTCTGGGCTGCTTGTCTTGTAGGCCTGCCCCTCCCTCTCTCTCGCTACGGCGACCGGTTGCAGAGACGGAGGAGGGCCCCCATTTAAAATATCGTATGTTTCAATCATACTCTCGTACCTTCTTCGGGCTCTCTCCGATCTCGTTCAACGATCATCACAAGGTGGGCTCATGAACTGTTCAATGTGTTCGAGCGTGGTGGAAATGATTCTGCGCCCTTCGAGTCACCGCATTTCTTCCGAGATTCCAGAGCGCAATCAATGTCCAATGTTATTATTATTCTCGACCCCCCCTTATGAAACTTATTTTAGCACGATGCACATCATCCACTATTGATCGGACTCGTTAGCGTTGATTCGAGCCATACGTACACGGTCCGAGTACCGATTACAGCAACAGTGCCGGCTTAACGATGTCCCCCAACACCGTCGCTCAGATTCATTTCATCTATTATCACCCATGGCCAGATATTATTTTTTTCATCGGGAAGCCAAGGAATTCCGAGGTGTCGGCCTTCGATTAAAACAACGGGTCAGGTTGCTTGCTTGATTGATTGGGTCCCCGCCATTATTAATATCTCCCAAAGGAATTATTAGTTTCGACGAGAGAGGCGAAGAAGATCGAGGAGTCGGCTTTCCATGGAGAGCGATCAGGGGCCAACAAAATGGCACACTCACTCGCATGGCGAAAGGCAAGTTTGGGGAATCAGTGCAACCGACCGAGAAAAATAAAGAGGCTCGAAAAGATCGAAAGGCCCACCTGCGCTGCACTTCTTCTTCTTCTTCGAACAAGATCTGGGAGCACTCGTCACAACACAAGAGGAAGATAATTTGTCACGTTGGAAGGCGATATGGTGTCTAAGCCGCAAGGGTCATGTAGTGGTGGCTCTGGCGAGTGCGGGTGCGGGTGCACGACGATCTCTCCATCGTCCAAGGTCATGAAGCTGCGCTTTAACCCATTCCTCAAGAAAAAAAATATCTCTGTCACCACATCTGCTAAGCATTGAAGAGGCTGCAAGAATCTTTTTTTCCATGCTCAAGTATTAAGATTTATAACAGATGCCGATCGATCATACGAACAGTCGAAGCTTTTCTGGATTCCTGACTCGTAAATCTGTTCATGGGAAACAAACCATGTTGCAGAGCATATCCGTAGAAGTCGACTTTTGATTTCCACACAGAAAATATCGTAAGAGATGGTGTGCTGAAAGAATATTATTCCGTTTTGCGGCGCCCATCATATCCAACGAGACCTTTGTTTAGAAGTATTGAAAATGTTATAGAATGCATGGAGTATGAGAATTTATGCATCTTCTTCCTTTAGATACTCTACGACCGTATTCTCACTAATAACCTTTTCACATGCATGTGTATGTGTATGCTAATACACATATATGTCTGTTAGTGTGTAATGCTAATGTATATGTGTAATATCTTTGCTTATGTATGTGCTTGCATACACATTAGAGAAGACATCAAAGAGAGGATGTAATGTGGTATTTTTTTTTCTGTTACTGGCGTTCTTGTAATAATACGAAATATTCTTCCTAAAAACTATTAAGTTTATAATTATATCCATTCATTGATACAAACTTGAAATACAGTTGTTGTCGTACTTTCCATAAGTACAGTTGAATTCATACCAGTAGTACTATTTCACAAGCACTTGGAAATAAAGTGATAAATAGCAACAAAATGTTAAGAAAATGTTGGTTGTACATTGTGTATATTGCTAAACTTTTACTTCATCTCATAAAAATAAATATTTCTGTTTTAACTTTTTCTTGTTTTCTTTGTAATTTTTACTTCAAAACGCTCGCACATTCGACATGGAATAGATGTCAACAACGTCAACAAACGAGAAAATAGATACATGTTACTGACACGAAAACGCAATATTCCCTAATCTGAACTGTTCATCTAAATTTCCGATCAGCACTCTTGTATAGAAACATGTTACTAGACTAACTAAAAATGATAAAGGTCTCTAGAATGAATCAAGCCTTGATTAACTCCTAACATACTTGAGAAATGCAGAGATTCAAAACTTTCCTATGTCAATTTCAAATTCTAGAAAAAAAATTATATGAAGATGAAACGTTCCAAGAATTAATCTTACATAAAATATAACATATTCAGATTATATATCATTCACAAATTTCTAATTCAAAAATGAAAGTTTGCATCTTACGCTATTCTATTTTTCAAATCTGTAAAAACTATCTCAGTATATCAATCTATACACTAGATTCCAGAATCTATAATAAGTCATGTTATCGATTATATTCTATGTATCATTGACATATTGGATAAGTATACAATCAAACACAAAAGATATACATGTTTGCAAACTCTACACATTTTTGGCATAGGTAATATCTAATCTTTTCGTACTTAAAAAACTACTTTTCTATTCATAATCTAAGCTTTGAATATTTATATGAATTTGTAATATCAAAATAGAAAATATATTTTTTCAAATATTAAAATATAAGAATATATCTCATGACCAATAACATGACATTAAAGTAGGATTTTAGCATTAAACTGTGATAGAAATTTTGATCTGATGAAAATTATGCAAATTGTATACATCTTTTTATTTTACTATATTTTTATACAAAATATATATCAGTATAATGAAAATTTTGATATTGAATATTCAACATGTTCATATTCAAGTAAAACACCTATTCTATGTCAGAATTCTTATTAATCTTAAAATATGGTAGTAACAATCTTTAATAGTGATATAAATAGATGCCCAACTTTGTTTAAAAAAATTTAAAAATTAGAAAAAAATTATGCATCATGCATCTATCGATTCTCCAGAACTAGAAAAAACCAAAAAGTAAAAATTTGCAATAATAATTTATAATATAAATTATGATCATGTGTTATATTTACATTTTTCAATGACAATGTCAACAGAATCATCCAATAATGATCATTTGATATGCACGATTGTAAAAATAATAACCCTATGATGATTTTTGATGAAAACGTAATAAATTGACAGAATTCAAGCTCAGTTTTGTATGTTTCGTAAAAGTAATATAGGTGTATGACATCAATGATAGACAAAGTATAAAATACTGACAATCTCATGAATTCAAAACATTATTAGAGCTAAATCTTAAATTATTACAAGATAAAATAACATTAGATGATTCGGATTTTTTTCCTTTAAAACGGGTGAAAATTCAAGTGTCATGAACTTGTGAAATCAGAAATATGTAAATGTTATTTTGACTTGGATTTGACCATATTTATTAATAATCGAACCTGTTCAATAGAATTGAAGAAAAAAAAGTTTTA